GAGTGTGCCGCGGCAGCGGCCGGCGAAGTGCCAGAAACGAATCACTTTTGTTGATGGTAACATTTGGTTTATAATGTTTAAAATATGATCGTGACCATTTTAATTTCAATTATGATTTCGATGGACTTAACGATTCGGGATCTTTATAGTGAGAGACTATAATTTATTTGGAGTTTTGCTTGCGTTTTTTGACTAAATATTTCTTTTTCTGTTAAGCGTAAACTGGCAACCATTTTTCTTTGATGTATGGTGCTTAAACACCTTTCATTTGAAGACAGAACTTACTAACTTTTTTAGGCGATTTCAAACTATAAAATAAACATAACAAAAAAAAAACGAAAAACTCAAATTCTGCAACGGAGGCGGACTTAAAACCCTACCGCCCCGATTCTACTAGCTACTCGTGACTTGCCCGGGCTGCAAGCAGCCCGGGGCAACCAAGCGAAAGCTTCTATTCAGAAACGAAGGCGGACTTAAAGCCCCATCGCGTCGTGAATTAATCTATTCTAATATCTGACCACGACATCGGTTCCCTTTTCATATAATAAATAAATCTTACATAAATAATGTAATGTAATAATGCAATTGACATTTAATTGATTAATTAATGATAGTAACACTGATGGAAATATATGTTCGATTGTTTTTTAATATTATACAGTAATTTACTAATAAATAAGAATAAGAGAATAAAAGACAAAACTTATTTTAAGTATCTATACAAAATTTATTTTAGGTTTTGCTTGCGTTTTTCGACTGAATATTTCTTTTTCTATTAAGTGTCAACTGGCAACACTTTTTCTTTGATGTATGGAGCTTTGTGTCCTTTAACACCTTTTATTTGAAGATAGAACTTACTGACCTTTTCTACGCAATTTCAAACTGTAAACCCGACATAACAATAGGCGGACTTGAAACCCCACCGCCCCGATTCCACCAGCTACTCGTGACCTCCCCGGGCTGCTCGCAGCCCGGGGCAACCAAGCGAAAGCTAGTTATTTATAAAGTTACAATTTAGATTAATGTTTTGTTTATTCTACTAAAAACTATTTATATTAACTATATATATAAAAAAATATTTGTTTATAACTATTTGTGTGTGTGTGTGTGTGTGTGAATGTGTATGTGTGCGTTGAAATGTTGTTTGTATAACTAAATAAAGATTGTATGATTGAGTGTATGAGTATGAGATTTTGTTTGGTGTATTCTATTATGAAACTGTAGCAAGTAGCTGCTCCTTCTCATCGTAGTCAAGAGAAAGAAGAAAGCTAGTGACTTTCCTCTTGCACTCGTATTTATTCAAATGGACAATGGTAATATATCTGCTTATCTTATTATAAACAAAGTTTCCAAGGAAGATGTAAGAACGTTTAGCGAAACTTGTTCGGCAACCTCGTTTATGTCTGCAAACAATATCCTTACGCCGTCTCTGAGAGTTTGATTGGTCAAAGTCAATTTCTGCGTGCTTTTTCAAGACAGTAAATAATAAAAACAACCCTCTGACGCTAAGTACTTCGCAATATTTCAACAGAAGGCTGGTGGGATACAGATATGGTTTAAAAGTACAAACCTTCAAAACTGATCGCTGAGCCACCTCCAAACATTTCAAATTTGTTTTTGGCATCCCTCCCCAGATAGTTATACCGTAGGTTAGTATAGATTGACATAATGCTAGGTAAACTCGTTTGAGATGCACAGGTTCAAGAACATGTCGTAGTATCTTAAAGGTAGCTATAAGTTTTCTCACCCTGCCACATAGATTTCGAACATGTATTTTATAGGACATATTATTGTCAAATGAGACACCAAGGTATTTAATGACATCAACATAATTAATCACTGCACAGTGACAGTTATCAGCGATTTGAGGGCTGCAAGTATGTAAGCGGAGCTTGCGAAATTGCAACGAGTCATTTGAAGTATTGCGTATTGTGAAAAAAATACATTTGGTTTTGTCCGCATTTAGAGTCAAAAAATTTGAACTCAGGCAAGCATTTACTCGATTTAACCCATTTTGAGCAGCCTCACAGGTCCCACTCAAATTTCTGTCTGAGAACATAAGGACCGTGTCATCTGCATAGGTCACAATTTTTCCATTACTGAGATTTAATTGACAGAGCTCGTTGATATACACAAGAAAAAGAGTTGGACCCAAGATGCTCCCCTGGGGGACGCCGTGTGTTACCAATGACTCGCTGCTAGAGAATCCAGAAATGTTAACGGATTGGTATCTTTCAGAAAGGTAATTCTCAAATAATTTTAATTGGTAATCACGAATTCCTATCCCTTGCAACTTCTTCAAAAGAATAGGAACAGAGACCGTATCAAAGGCCTTTGCCAGATCCAAAAAAATCCCTATACATTTATTACCCTCGTCTAGTTTATTAGTAATAAAGTCGACCATTTCATGCATAGCATCAGTTGTCGACCTACCAGTTCGAAAACCAAATTGATTTTCAGAGAGAATTTTATTTTTTTCAAGGTAATCAACAAGTCGCACATTAATAATCTTTTCAAAAAATTTTGATATAGAGGGCAATATTGAGATAGGCCGGTAATTAGAGACACAGGCTCTGTCCCCACCCTTATGAACTGGGATAATGATAGACTTTTTTAGGACTTTAGGAAAAACACCACAATGCAGGCAGTTATTAATGATGTACGTTAAATGTGGAACAAGAAAGTCCTTGTGAGTTTTTAACAGCTGATTTGATATACCGTCCCAACCAGCAGCACTGTCATTCTTTAGATTCATGATCAAATTTGTAACCTCCGTCTCGTCAGTCTCCAACAAAACAAATGAATCCACCGATGACATTCCGGATTGGTTACAGTTTGCCACATGATTCGCACCACTGAATTTATTAACAAGTTCTCTACCAATATTAACAAAATAATTATTTACTCTATCTACAGATTGTTCAGGATTTGAAGATATAGTTAAAAGTTCATTCGCATTGCCCTTATTATCACTATTATAGGTTATGTTTTTAATGACCTCCCATATCTTTTTGTTATTGTTACCAGCTTTTTGTATTTGATCTTTATCATATTGCCTTTTTATTCTTTTCAGTAGATTATTACAGAAATTTCTGTATCGAATATAAGTAAGCTTAAGAGTTTCATCCTCAGGATTCCGTTTAGTTCTAGAATGTAATCTGTCTCTGAACCTAATACATCTCAGCAGCCCCGGGGTAATCCAGGGTTTAATGATTCTTTTCGACCTTGGGATTGTAACTATTTTAGTATTTTGATCAGCTGCGTGTTCAATTTGATTTATAAAATAGCTCATTTGAAAATTGGGATCATCACAGCTATATATAGGTCCAGGATCAATATTTAAAATATCGGAGTTTAATCCCTGTACATTAATACTCTTTTTAGTGCGCTGTAAGTCGTTCCTACTAGGTTGAGAATGGAGGAAGAAACCAACTGCTTTATGATCAGTAACAGTGGAATCAGGAACAATTGTCAAAGAATTCAATTTAGATTTAAGCAAAATATGGTCAATACATGTTCCACTTTGATCTCGTGTAACAAGGGTATGTGTTGGCAAGAGACCATAGAAAGCAATGAGATTCAGGTAGTTTTCAGAATTATTATCTACTTTATTAGAGTTTAAAGGCAAGTTTATATCACCTGCAAGTATAATGTTGTTATATGAGGATAATTTCTCTAACTGCGTACCAACCGATGAGATAAATAGATCAATGTCGGATTTTAAATTAAAAGCAGGCGGTCTATAGACAGCTAAAATAGCAGTTTCTGTTCCCAGAGTGATAAGAAGACAGTTTCCCTTATGAATATCAGGTTCATCTACTGAAAAGTGTAAGTCTTTCTTAACAAAGACGACAATTCCATCATTTTGATTGTGAGTTATTTTGGAAGAAAGTGATACGTAATCACCTAACAACGGAATAATCGGATTACATGAAATCCAGCACTCAGTCAATATTAAGACATCAAAATCATATTTTAGTCGTCCAAGTAATACCTCAAAATCAGAAAAATTATGGTTGATGCTTCTTATGTATACTTATTGAAATCCTCCACTGCACAAGATAAAGATCGAAACAGATCCTCATCTAAGCTACAACAGTAGTCCTCCATATTACACATTGCGCCAACCGGGACGAAAGATGTTCAGAACTTTTGTACATTTAGAAACATAATATAATAAACCTATGTTGACCCTAGCACTCGCTGACAACTCAGGAATTACTAATGTAACTCTAGTGCTACTGTATCCAATTATATCCAGAGTTACAGAAGAGTCTACTTCAGTTAAGTTATGTTTCTGTTTAATGATAAGACAAATAGTGTAAATGTTGTAAAGTTTGTCAGATAGTCCATAAAAGTATAAAATATTAAGAATTTGATTGTAAATCTCATTGATGCAATTTATTGTAAAAGTTTCCTGTGCAGTGTCTGTATAATGTTTGTATATGTTATATGAATATGTTGTATAAAATATTTGTTGCAAAATTATAAAATATGCATTTTGTATAAGATGTATATATGCATGTGATTGTAAATTATATTGGTGTAAAATAATGTAACAGCCTTCAGTTTGATGTGAGTATAGATTTTGTATGTATAAAATGTAATGTTGATTTTGTGATCTAAAAAAATTCAAACGGTAATTATAGTTACAATGCAAAAGTGAAGCAATATTACTACAGTTAGATATTAATGTTATGATTAAAACTAAAAAACAAAAGTTATAAAAGAGTATTCTATGATATAGTCACTGGTCAGCGATTGAGACTAAGTCGCTCTCGCTGCTGACTCGAACATAGGGGGCGCCTTCTTTAAGCCTTAAATAAATTTTACCATGTGAAATCCAGCAAAATGAATATTTGTTTCTCTTGGCAAATTCTCTTGCTGCATAATATAATTTTTTTGTTTGGAAAGTAATATTTTCTGTGACGAAAACAGGTTTTACGGGCCCATCAAGGTGCAGTCTGCTAGTATTCAACCTATCGCTTTTGTGTTCGTTATTATATTTTAACTGCTTTCAGAATCTTCTCCTTTAACAAAGCACTAGATAATTCTACAATTATTGGTTTATTGTTCTCGTTTTTAGAGTTTATACGGTAAATGTTACGAATATTCGATTTATCAATCGGCACGCCTACAACCCTGGCAGTCTCTTGCGCTATAGAAAGCAGTTTTTCATGATTCTCGTTTGGTAATTTGGGTATGTTACATAATTCAATATTTGCTGATCGAATACTTCTCTCTAATGTTTCCATTTTAGATTCCAAGATAGCTATTTGTTGATGATTTGAATTCTTTTCATTTTCAAGTGTGCGGATTTTTTCAACTAATACATCATATTTTTCGGACATGAAAGCTATAGATTTATGTATTTCCGAATTTTGAACCTTTATTTCTTCGATTGCTGATAAAATATTTGTATAATTAACTTCCTGCTCCCGCTTCCATGACGAAAACATTTCCATAAATTCATTCCTAAAAGATTGCAGTTCATCCTCCCCACGTTTACGCTTACGCTGATTTATATTCTCTATAGCTGATAATTCGCATTTCGCGGCAATGTTTGGAGCGGATTCGCTATGCTGCATAGTACCGGAGCTACACTTGCTGCTATTCTTTTTAGTCGGAGTACGTTTCATTGGCATCATACTCCAATTCTCAATACCAGGACAACAGAAGTGATAAAGAAGACCAGTGAAGAAAAAAGTCAGTGTGCTGGTGGTTGGTAATAAATTAACCTTTTCAGTAATATTATTACGAGGGTCAAACTGAAAGTTCTTAGAAAATCAAAAACTGATTACATTAGCCAGTTATTAGTTTTATTATATCTTTTCAAAATATTGTCCATTCACGTCAATACACCGCTGCATGCGATGGAACCACTGGGAAAAGCACTTTGCCCACTCGTCCTTAGGGGTCTCTTCAATGGCATCGCGATACGCAGCCACCGCTTCTTCAGCATTCATAAACCGCTTTCCTTTAAGTTTTTCTTTAATTTTTGGAAATAAATAAAAATCACAAGGCGCGAGGTCGGGGCTATACGGCGGGTGACCCAGTAATTCAACGTTTGATGTCGCCAAATAGTCGATCGTTCGCTTGGCGGTGTGCGACGAGGCGTTGTCGTGGTGAAGGAGGATCCTACTGCGAGGTCGTTTCTCTCGAACTTTTTCCAAGACAAGTGGCAAACAATTGGTAGTGTACCATTCTGCAGAAACTGTTTTTTGATCCTCTAACACAATTGTTGCAAAATGACCTATCCTTCCAAAGAACGAGGCCACCATTTTTTTTCCCGCACTTCGATCTCTCTTCACTTTAGTTGGCAACTCCTCGAAAGGAAACATCCACTGAGCAGATTGTCTTTTGGTTTTAGGATCATAACAGTAAATCCAGCTTTCGTCACCTGTTAGTATGTCGAACACAGCATTTGAGTCACCTCCGTTAAATCTTTCAATCATTTTACGACACCAATCCACACGATGGAGTTTTTGAGCCTCAGTCAAATTATGAGGTATCCACCGGGCGCAAAGCTTCCTGACCGCTAAATGTTCGTGGAGGATTTTGTGCACTTGACTCATACCGATGCCTAAGCTTGTCCGAATCTGTTGATAGGTCACTCTTTTGTCAGTCTCTATCATACGCCGCACAACACAGATGTTATCTTCAGTCGTCGCCGTAGAAGGCCGTCCCTCACGTAAATCATCAGTGAGATTAGTGCGACCACGTTTAAACTCATTAAACCAGTTGTAAACAGTCGCACGAGATGGGGCTTCATCGTGAAAGGCCAATCGTAGTCTATCATAACTTTCTTGTTGACTTAAATGACATCGAAAGTCATAAAAAATCATTGCACGAAAATTTTCTCGTGTTAAATTCATGATGACGTGACACAGACAATTTTCAATTTGCCGCCAAATCGTAAAACAAATGACAAATGAATGAAATATATACTCAGTAATATTGGCAAAGAGTTATATTTTCAAATTTTAGAATTATTTTTTTATTATATTGTTTATAAGTGGCCAGTTCTAAGAACTTTCAGTTTGACCCTCGTACTTGTTATATACAAAGTTATAGCAGCAGGCAGTCAGCAACACAAGATAGTATATAAATGAATCGTATCTCTTTTACTTGAATCAACCGCGGCCGGAGCACCAGGAGCGCAGTAGCGCCTAAGAGGTAAAGCGATTGAAGCTATTTCTCTCGCGCACTAAGCAAAACAAAGCAAACAGTAGTGGGGGGCGGAGCTAGCCATGCAGTAAGCGCGAAGCACCAGGTTGACAGAGCGCAACTATATCGGAACGGGCGGAGCTAAAGCACTTTCTAATATTATGAAGTAGGTATCGTATTAGTTGACTCACTCAGTTACAGGCGCACGATGCAGTAGTAACAGCAACGTCACGTAGGTATACTACGCGAGCTCTTCAAGATTATGCACTCCTATTTATTCGCTTCGATTTAAGTTTTATTTTCTGCTTCAAAAAGTCAGAAATTAATTTAATATGCGCCTCAAATACGTGTACTCGTGAACGAGGTCCGAGGGGGAGAGGATATATTTTATCGTAATGGAGGGAATTAAACAATTACGTGCAACTGTCATTTCACTATTTGAGACGGGAAAAAACCCATGCAGATTTTCTGTGAGCTGAAAAGTTTTCCTGTAAGCCGTAACTTCGTCGATTACACAACACAGCGGTACAAAGAGACGAATGCACTCATCGTCCGGCTAGTTTCATAGTATGGTAGTTTCGTGTGAAGATGTCACTCCGCTCAATTTTTGCCAACAAAGTGTCAAGGTGAAAGCCAAGAATTATCAGAGTGACATTTTAGAGGCCGTGGTAGAACCCCTGTTTGATACGTTATTTCACAATAAGGATTGGGTTTTTCAGCAAGACTCGACGCCATCCCATAAGGCAAAAGCATCCAGCTTTGGTTGAGGGAGACTGTGCCGGCCTTCATCGCGGCGGAAGAGTGGCCCTTCCAGCCCCTAACTCAACCCACTGGATTATTCTTTATGGACTGAATTAGAGCTCAGGGCCTACCGAAAATTCCTCCTAAACTTGGAGTCACTGTAGCGAACTTTTCGTCGCGAAGCAAAGCGAATTTCGTCAAAAAAAATTCGTGTCGCCATTTATGATTGGCCAAATCGTCTAAGGGCCTGTATTAAAAACAACGGCAGTCATTTTGAATGAAATATACTCCTATACTTTATTGTTGATTATTATCTATTTAATGGTTACTGAAAATTTTAGAAATATAGGTTAATTATTAAAAAAGTTATGCAACTTTTATTTCGTCTCAAAACTTATGAATACACAAGGTAATTTTAGGGATTTTCACCTTCTTTCTTCATCAGTGTTTACTTAGATTTTTTGTTTAAGAAAGTGTTGTACAAATGTGTTTCTAGTAGATTTTTCTTAGGTTTTTGTTATTTTAATTAAACCGGTTCGTTTTAATTAAAAGTTAAATATTAATGAATAAATAAAAGTTTTATATTAATGAATTGGTAAATATATTTTGCGTTTTTAGATAATGCTTTGAGAAGTGGTGACTTAGCTGGATGTGCGAAGTATTTGGATAGTGTAGGCGGTGGTGCTGATGTGGCTCCGCTCTGGAGACAGTTGGCTGATCGTGCTCTAAAAAATGATGACATTCAAGTAAGACGAGTTAAATGTTTTATAATTATGCTCTTTGATCAGTTTTCACTTATTAATAATCCAATTCATAAATAGCTTACTGCAAAATGTTATCGTGAAGTGGGCGATGAAGCACGAACATTCTACTTGGATCAGACCGTGGAATTGGCTGTTTCGGCAGGTGACGGAGATATAATGGCAGGTAAACATTAATTGGGGAAGCTTGCGGAAGAGTTTTGCTATTATAATATGAAACTTATATATAAATAATTATTTTTCGTAATTTTGTTCTACGGTAGATTCATAGATGATCTCACCCTAATTACAGGTTAAGCTTCCCGAATATTTCATAATAAAATATAAAGCGAAAGTTCATTAATTCACACACTCACTTATTACAAAACTGCAATTGCTAGGAGTTTCAAATTTTGCATTTAGGACGTAGGTGCTAAGACGGTTTTTTTCGAAATTCCCCTTAGATGTATTTTCGAGGTACTCTAGCAACCACGCGGGCGAAGCCGCTTGCGAAAACCTTGTATTCTATAAAGATTTTTTCAAATTGGTTCAGTTGTTTCAAAGTTTATTTAACGTAAACAAACGAATGTTTAATTTAATTACATTATTAGTATACAAAAAACCCAAATAATTCTATAAAACTGTATCTTCTTTATCGAAACGGAATGAATATATGACTAGTAATATCTTAGTTATTTTCAGGTCTAAATAGCCCTTTAGTCCGTGCTCGTCTGGCCATTTTCTCTGGCGATCTAGCTTCGGCTGAAGAATGGTATACTAAGAAAGCAGGTCAACCTGCGCTAGCAATTGATATGTACAAGCGATTCAACAAGTGGAGTGAGGCTGTCGCTCTAGCCGAGAGGACTGATCGTAGTTCTGTGTCGATGCTGAAGCAACAGCACATGGATTATCTTACATCCACTGGTAATACGCGGTGACTTTGTCCGATAAATTTAATGAGTATGCGATTAGTTTTTGATGAGCAGCTTGGTCAAGTGTTTGATAAGGTGAATGGCCATCTATGAGATTCTTGGTTAGAACTACCAGCCCGAGATTTGCGGGAAATTATACTCTATGCCCATGCATCAAAATCAGTCGAATCAATATAGACTTTAGCTATATAATTTGAAAATGAATTGTAAATTAAATAATTCAATTATGTTGTTTAATATTTATAATATAAATAAGCGGGTTAACTTCCATATGGTCATGAGTAGTGTAATCTTTTCTTTTTGATATTGACTCAAAGATATAATTCATAAAATCTAAAGTAAAATTACCACTATACTATTTTTGTATAGTTTTTATACCCTTTTCTGAATTTATAATAAAGTATAGATTAATTGCGTAGGACGATTGGGTGAAGCGGGGGCAGCGTTAGCGGCTTCAGGGGATGTTCAGGGCGCTGTACGTTTGTGGTTGAAGGGAGGGCGCGCAAGGAGAGCGGCTGCGTTATTACTACAGCACTCGTCATTGTTGCGCGACAATGAATTAGTAGATGCTGTTCACACTCAGCTCGTACAGGTATTAGGGAAATTCATTAGCAGTAACAATTGCAAATGTTATATATTTATAAATATATCGCGTTCGTATACATATGGCAGAGAAACGATAAAAAATAAATTTTATCTACGCTATAAATCACGCAGGATGTTATACCATGAGTATTGAGCACTTTTTACTTTAAAATATTGGTTACAATTTTCACTGAACAAAATGTTGTGTCAAGTATGTAATACATTAGAATATGAGTACAGCGTTCTTAAATGTTTAAATGGAGGTAGGTTATCTGTCTGTTGTCTTACAATATACATTTTAAACGGTTTCTATTCCGTACCATTTAAACAGCCTTTGTGTTCTAAGCTTACTTTGACAAAAAGGCACATGCACATTGTGATCTATAATCCCACGGAAATAGATTAATTTTCTGGTTTGTTTATGCAGGAAGAATGGTGGGAGATGGCTGGCGAAATATCGGAGAGAAGAGGTGACAGTAGAACAGCAGTTGAATATTATGCCAAGGGACATAACTTCGCAAGGGCCGTGCAACTTGCCAGAGAGGTTTTCAATCCTATTATATTTTATACACAAAACATTGTATTAAGATAGTAACGAATCAAAGGGATAGATTTATAATGGTAATTGGGACAGATTTATTTGTTATACGATAAAGGTTATTTAACTACTAGTAATTTCGTTAACGTTTCTACTTAGAAGCAAAGATGGATTTGAGCTCTTTTGCAATCATCATAGTTAGTTTATATTTTCTATTGACCTATCGGCTAGACTACAAAAGGGTACCATTTACATTATAGAAATCCTTCATCAGCAAATGTCTTTGTCATATTAATGTGCTTTTATTTCGATCTGTTTATTGGTTTAGGTTGTTCGTTGACAGATCAGGGGTACGACAGCCTAACTCTCTAGCCATAGGATATGACATCTTATTAATGGTCTGCCGATATCTCAATTCGTTGAATTACTTTAACATGCAGTATAGTAACGACGAACGAACAATAAAGAATGATGATTATGGATTTAATAGCAGTATTACCAACTTAGTAATTTATCCCAAATTTATCCACCAAAAGACATGTCAAAGAAGTGAAATAAAACGAAATATCGTCATAACATCGCTAAGATGTCGTTTCTTATGGCTAGAATCAAGGCCAGACAGAACTGTAGATAGTCAGCCATTTATATGCATATATAGGAAATCGTGGGTATTCTATTTTGTTAATGTTAATTAGGGTTGCCAGATAATTTTTCAGCCTGTAAGGAACAATAATGCTTAAATCAAGATTAATAAAAAATCAAATTACTAACTTTTTTAATGTTTTTTGGATTTGACCCAATAAAAAATGAATAAGAATCATGATTTGGTTTTTATTAAGTTGGAGGTACACTTATTTTGTTCATTATCTTACTTTGACACCATTTGTAAAATCGATTTGATATACGGGACAATGTCGGTCCCGGCGGGACATTTGAATTTATGTATGAAATACGGGATGTCTGGTAAAACTAATAATAAAAATCAATGTGAAGGCGTGTCCGGGTGAAGTGACTCGTCTGGAGGGCGAGTGGGGCTGGTGGTTAGTGGGCGCGAGGCAGGCGGGCGCGGCGGTGCCTCACCTTATAGAGGCGGGGGACACGCGCGGGGCCCTCGCTGCAGCCCTCAAGGCGCATCATTACAGAAAAGCGTTGCACATTGTGCAGGTATATTTATCATCACTATCAGTCCTTTTAGCAGTGGCGGACTTACTTCTTCGGGGCCCCGAGGCGGCTTTACACCCCCATTTGTGTTTGCATTTTTGTATTCCCCCCCCCCCCTCCGTTGCTAAGACGTCTGCTAAAACTATGAAAATGAACATAAGAAAGATAGGCTGTACAACCCCAATTTATATTTTATCAAAATCAAGGGAACTTGCAGCCATTTGAAGGCCTCCTAAGACAAGAGGCCAAGGGGCAGACCACTCCCTTAGTCCGCCACTGCCTTTTACTTCTCCACTGAAGGAGAATAGGCCTTCCTTATGGATGGTTAAGGAGGATCGGCACTGGCCCAATGCGGATTGGAGGGTACTAACGACTACAAATGCAGCTGGGACCAATGGCTTAACAAGCATTCCGAAGCACGGAGTAGCTTGAAATGATAATTGTTTGGTCATCCATCCCTTGACCAACCGTTGCGATAGTTTCTTAGCAACCCGTTCGCGGGTCGCGGCGTTTATCCCCTACGGCGCCGAGCTACTCAGGTATATCTATACTAATATTTTAAAGAGGAAAGAGTTGTCTGTCTGTTATCTAAATAAATAGTTCCCTAGGGACCACATGGGCGAAGCTGCTGGCGGAAAGCAGTAAAGTATATTAATAAATATTAATCTGCTTCTTCCGCCCCTTTCTACTGTTTGGATGTTCTTTTAATTTCTGCCATCTCTAGCTATTTTGTTCCAGCAATTCTTTTCATATTATTAGTTTTGTAACTTTTTGTGGATTTTGATAGCTATTATACTCTAGTTCTTCGCACCCGTATGTAGGAGTAAATAAAAATATATATTATACAACATCATATAGGTAAATCGCTCAGATTCCAAGATGAATAGCTAAAAGTCTTCGTATTATATGAGACAGTGAAGGTAACACATCATCACTCAGATTCGAAACAATATAAAAAAGTTTATTCTCTACATTGACTCAACCAGGAACAGGACACTTTGCAACCGGCGTGCGAATCACATGAATACGGAGGTCGTCATATTGCTGCTGTACTTCCGGTCACACTTACAGTAGTGATAGTGTATAATAGCGCCCGTTTTGCTATTTATTGTTGACCTTGTAAAATAGCCTGTAGGAAATACTAGGATTGCTCGTTATGTTAACATTACTATTAACTATATTTAGGTAATAAACAATTTTGTGGTCGTCATCATTGAAATTCTGGGGTTTTTCCTATTCAGGTCGATATATAAAATAATCTTCTCAATATAAAGGAAAGTATACTGTCTTTTGCTGTTGTGGTATCTTCTTTATTTCAGTTTTCGACTGCAATGGCTTCAGCTTGGTCCTAGGAATCTGAGTTATGTGCGATGTTGTCTTATATTTATATACCACCCGGCTCTGCGGTGAAATGACACGGTTACAGAGCAAGTGAGGTTTGAAATTTCAAATGTACTGAAGGGATCTCAAAATTATTTAAGGTTTATCCTTCTCTGGTTCCTTAATTTACCTACCATACTTAGAGAATATTAGTTGTTGGATGCTGACTTTTCGTGTAAACCGTAGTTCAGAATGTAACATTAATTAAATCGTGTCACAGGTAATAGATGATAAGGAGTCGATAAAGGAGCAGTGTGAGCAGTTGGGTGATCATTTTATTTCTACGCAAGTAAGTAACATATTACCAACAAATAAAAAACCCCTAAAAATAAGTAAAATAACCTTTTTTATCGTTTTAAAATATTCTATTATCTTTACGTATTTCGCCTTATCAAAAGGAATGGGAAACTGCAGAACGCGTGCTTAGTTCTTGCGATATGGCAGAACGTTGCGTACGCGCATATAACGCCGCCGGGCGCGTAGCCGACGGTCTAAGAATGGCGGCCACGCATCTCACTGAAGACCACACTAGGGAGATATACATGCCGCTCGCACAACAACTCCGGGATGAAGGACAATTTAGGAAAGCCGAACAGATATACATCGGCTTAGGGGAGGTAGATCAAGCGATCTCCATGTACAAGGCAAGTTTCCCATCGCGTCCTTCACGGTGTTATGTAGAGGAAATTATATTGACTGTATGCACTTATATTTTTTACAAATCTATTTAGATAATAAGTTCTGGGCTGCATTTATTGTGTTGAAATCAAGAAACTTACGGAATCCTTTAAATCACCTTAATAATCTTTTGATTCATTTTAAGTTTTCTCTTCCGTTATTGTTAAATTACTTTAGGCGGCTAATGGTTTGAACCAAATACTTAACCCAAATAATAACTTTTTTATCTTGTTTTACAATAAGACTGTTTAAATTTTATGTTTGAAACTTGTTAGCATTTAGGTCTATACTTAGTATTTGTGTTTACACGTCATTTTTCCAACAGACTGCTTGACTCAATGCCATACACAACCAGTGCGAAAGCTTTATGAAAGTTTTATTATTTTTATGAATGAATATGGCTATATGCTATCATATATAATGCTATGTTTTTTACCTATTCTGTATTGACTAAATAATTTTTATTTATTTTAGTTTCATTAATTTGACTTTAAATATAATTATTTCATTAATTAATTAATTCAGAAAACATTCGCCCGACTTTAATAACATTTTCTTGAATAAGTCGCCTTTGAGATAAGTATTATTTATCTGTTTTATAAAGTTTGATGTTGGTTCTATATTTTTTTAATTGTTATTAACTTATCCACCCCACGAGGTCGCCACATAATAATATTACACCTAATATATATTTCCTTATAGGAGGCATCTCAGTATGAATCTATGTTGCGATTAGTGGCGGCTCATCGTAGCTCGCTACTGGAAGCGACCAGGCGACATGTCGCTCAAGCACTGCAAGCGTCCGGCGATCAGCGAGCTGCGGAGAATTATTACATACAAGCTGGTGAATTATTTCTTCTTTTCAAAGTGTTTTATGTGTGGAATAATTCTACAAGAAAATTTTGTTATCAGTACGTAAATTTTAATATTATGTTCGGTACTATCATGATCACCTTTCTTTTTCTCTTTGTCCTACTAACATAGGAGATGTTAGGTATGCATAGGCAATAATTTTGAAATATTAACATTTATCGGTATTTAAATATATAATCTTTTTAAAATATGGTCTATTAATACCAAAGCGTAGGAAAAAAATATGACATCGATTGCAAATTTATCCTGCATTACAAGTCAAAAGTGACTTACACCCTATTGCACGAATGTCCATTAATGCCGACATTAAGCTCAATCTTCGAAAGTTGAAAATTAGTCTTGGTAATGTCGCTTAAAACTAATGTCAATTTTAACGGTCCTTTTCACTGATTTATCAAGTACATCACCAACTATTGGAGAGATCGAGCTAACTAATAGTTATTATAACGTATGGATCCGATAGGAAAGGTTTCAAAAAATTAAATCCTTAAGAGAGTTAAATAGGTATATGAACATCATGTAAACGCGGGTTAAGTCGCGAGCGGAAACTTGTATTCACTATAAATGAAAGTTATTCTTATTTTTTTTTCAAAGCTTATAATATACCTATGAAAAATAATGGACAGCATAGGTCTTCAAATTATTTCTGTATTTATGTTAGACATGATTTTCTGATCGCTAGGTAATGATAATCGATCAATCTTATCCTGTAATGGAACCAACGTTAATTAGGAATTAGTTCGCAGTTCAACAGATTTGTTAGTGATCATTACGTTTGGTTTAAGACGGTTTGATTTAACAAGCTCCACAAATCTCTTAGCTAATTATGTTGTTGAATTGTGAATCTACGAGTATTATTGCGTGATTTCGGTCTGTGACAAAACTTTTGTCTTTTGTATTTTCTTTTTAGAATTTTCAAGAATCTATAATTGCTTGATTTCGGTATGTGACAAAACTTTTATCTTTTGTATTTTCAATTTAGTATTTTCATTATTATTTTCTTTGTGATTTTAGTTTCTTTTCTTTATTTTGATACAAACGTTAATTATAAAGCAAGTAATTTTCTAGTATCCAACAGTTTGTTTAGTAGTATACATAGAAATGCTTGCAAGTACCTTATAATAAAATCAACAAAAATTTCATTAACAGGTGATTGGAAAAGCGCTATTCAGATGTATCGGACTGCTGGACAGTGGGAATGTGCTGAAAGAGTGGCGCGAGCGCATGCCCCTAGTGCGGTACAACAACAGGTTCTGTATTATTTGTCATTATTAGAATACAATTATTGTTGTTTTTACTATGGTTGTTTGTAGTTTAAATATAAAATGTATAGGCAGTCAAATAGATTTCTGAGACAATTAAATGTAATTATAGTAAATCAAAAGGTTTTATTGTACTTGCGTGTATGTAACTTATTTTGGTCAATGGTTATAACTAAATATGATGATAAAAAATATGATAAAAAATATGTCGAAAAGGCAATAACTTAGTTATGTATATTAAACGTATTGAATAAACTCCCCTAAATCGACAAATTGACCCTTAGATTCTGTCTTTTGTAAGTCCTAAAGGCTAATAAGAACTTCAGTGGTCTAGGGTTTACAGACTGTTCAAACTCGTCATATGACGAGGGCACGAGTGATGATCTTTTATCAGGTATATTGTGTTTATTAATAAGTTAGATGATATAGGTTGCGCTTCAATGGGCCGGCGCATTGGGTGGTGCACCGGCTGCTAGACTTTTGGCTGCTAGAGGCTTAGCAGCTTTAGGGGCGAGATGGGCTCTGCAAGCTCAGAGGTAAAACTAAATATTAAAAACGCGAGACATTTCGAAATAATTACCAAATATCCGTTAGCAGAAATCTTGCATTGATGGCAAAATTACTGTTGGTCCATAGTTCAGTTAAATAGTGATTCGATGTCATATATAAATTGTATACGACCTATTGTATACACCAATAGCATAGTTAATGTAGCTACCTATACTATAGGTAGCTATATCTCTCTATTTTGTTATTTCATATCATTAAAAATGACCAGAAGACCAGGAAGGTCAACTATTTTTGGTTAAGCATTTATGATTGGTATCAATATATATGGTAGGAAAAATGTGTCTGAAATTTTCATCAAATTGAGTTTTGTTTCAGATGGGATATTGCTCTAGAGTTGAGCGAGTTAGGTGGTGGTATTACTAAAAGGGAAGTAGCTAGACATGAAGCCGCCGCGCTTGCTGAAGAGAGTCCAGAAGAAGCTGAAGGAGCGTTCTTGAGAGCTTCGGCACCTGAGGATGCAGTACGAATGTGGCTAACGAGAGGCCAACATCAGCGAGCACTAGCTTTAGCAGAACAACATGCGACACATATGGTGAGTGATGTAGAAATCAATTTGAAGATGCACTATTTTATTGGTGGCAGTAAATGAGAGAAATAGAAACTTCAGAAAAGAGAAGATGGTATGCAACTTTCCTTTGTGTTTTATCAGAAAATACTAGCTTTAGCAGAGAAATATTCACGTGAAGTGGAGATAAATAAAAGTGAAGGTACATCGGACCAGAATGGAGAGACAGGAGAAGGTAAAGCAATTTTTTACTGAGCAGCAGTGTTAGGTGTTGGCAGCTTCCCATCTGTTAGACAGAGGTTCCATGAGCCTTAAAGATGTATCTTAAGGACCTAACTCCCTGAGATTTTGGTGGGTAAACTTCAGAGTGAGAGTGGAAAGGTTTGCGTAATGCATTGTCCCTATGAATAAAAGGTCACTTTGGGTCATGAGGGTGTAACATAGGTGAAAAAAAGCTCTAGTATATACGACGCATGCTGTGATTTAAGAGAGTAAGGGTATAAATACTTCGGTGCAATAATGGACTTATGTAAGCCAAAGCATCACAAATTAGACAAAGGTTGATAATGATAATGATGAGAGTGAATGTTTATATATATGATAAACAAGTGACCGCCAGCGACTTCGTCTGCGTTTTCCATTATTACTTCGTTCCTAATAATTGCAGCTTGATGTTATATAGCCTAAAGCCTTCCACGATAAATGGTCTATTCAACACAAAAAGATTTTTTCAATTCGAACCAGTAGTTCCTGAGATTAGCGCGTTCAAAAAAATAAACAAACTCTTCAGCTTTATTATATTAGTATAGATAATAAAATGTAAATTTCAATATAGGTATGAATAATATTTACTTGGATTATACGTACTTATCAACATTTACACGAAATAGGTACAAATAAGATCTTACATATTTTTTTGTAATTTTGTGGTAATTGACTAATAGAAGATTTTTTTAAATAGGTGGAAGAAGTCCTCGTAGAGGGTGCTCGTGCTGCAGCCGAGAGAGGTGATCTGGCGCAGTTTGAGACGTTAATGATTCGCGCAAACCGGCCCAGAGAAGTAGTGCAGCACTATAAGGAACTTGGTACGTGTTATTAATAAATTTCTACATAATATTATTATCAAGAGTGCTTACGAGTTACATAATAAAATGTGAAATGTTTATTGTGCTGTTAGTGTAGGTGAAATAACGCCGTCTTTTTTCTGTCATTGTCAATTTGCTTTAGGTGGCCATTGGCTAATCGCTTAAACCTAAGTATTAACTTGAGTCCTTGTTTTGTAATAAGCCATATATTTTGGAAAGTCTTATATGCATTGTAAAAGTTCGGTAAAATTGATTGCCGTTATCGACTTAATGTTATCTGCTGTCATTAGGGTTATTTAGAACATTTTAGTGATTACTGTATTAATAAAACGTTTAAAAAAAATCCTTGGTTGTAAACAGCAAAAGCATAGTAATAAACGTTTCTGTTGTGCAAAACGGTAAAGTTGTTCTTCGAAAAGATAATACATTGTGCGGAAGTGACATCAAAAAGGAATTCACAGAATTGTGGGAGGAAGCATCTCGTGTATCTCGTGAGTATTTACCGGAGGGTGGTGAGCCGGTGCCGCCCACTGTACCTCCGCTACTGCAACAAGCAGCTGAACATGCAGATAGGTAAGTACTTAGTAGTATAGTTTGTACTGTCCACGGAAGATAGATCACATATACACAAATCTTAATATTGACTTAACGAAGTTGATATTCTGTAAAAAATAAAGAAATAAGTAGAAATGTGACGAAATTTTCTATAAATTTATTATTAGGGTAAATATCCGACACGGAATATTAACTTGTTTTTATTCCGTGTAAAATTAAACAAATTGTTAAATTTTTATCAACTTGTTTTTATTCCATGTCGGATATTTACCCTAATAATAAATTTATAGAAGTTATATTTCTTCACATTTCTACTTATTTCTTTATTTTTTACAGAATATAAACTTCGTCAAGTCAATGTTAAGATTTGTGTATATGTTATCTTCTGTGTTTCTTAATACAAGTATTATTTATAAACGAACATCGGTAGATTTAATAGTCACATATTCCAGTATTCCATTGCTGTATTACATGAAATGCACAGTTATTTTAGTCTTATACTCCGTATTCTAAAATTTTTTTTAATACATTGACAATACTCGGCACAAAAGTATGCTATTTCAGTAATGTTGAAATCACTTTAACATACTCTTCTTTTTTACCTCTATGTTGGGTACTATACTTACTTGAAATTATTTATTTTTAAATTATAGAGGTGAATGGTGGGAGGCAGTAGAATTGTTGATAGGTGCGAGTGCAGCAGGCGCTAATGGTGGAGCCACTAAGTTAGCGGAACGCGCGGCTTTACGAGCCGCCCGTCTCGCTCGAGATCATTTGCATGATGTACGGAGACGTGCCGCTGCTGATATGCTTCTTGAAAGGTATGTATTATAGAGTTGAAAATAATATATATCATTAAACTTGTCATTAGTTTAAAGCCCCATTGCACAATCTCTAATTTAGAACATTCGTTAGAGCTTAAAGTCTTCATTGAACTTTAATGGATGTTTGTGCAACTGACGATATGTTAAGTCGTCTAAATAATAAACTAGAAGTTTAATCCAAGCAATACGTATGCAGATTTGTTGCAATCGGTCAGAACGATATCGGGGAACAACTGAGAGCGGCTTTAGTAGAAGGTTATAATGGAGATGAAGAGGTCCAAGGTACGTAATTCCTGAAAATTGGGTAGGTACTGCTTCTTGGTTATAAAGAATTTAAAAAGTTCATTTTACATTAGATTACATCTAACATCACGTAAATATTAATATGGTATGTAACGAAACAAGTACGATTTATTGGGTACAAAATACCTAATAAGTCGTATAAATATAATAATATCAGGTACACTCAAAGTATTTATTGGATGGAAAATGATTTATTCTTTGTTGAAACAGGCACATCAACAGAATATGAGGAGGAAGAGCCCGCTATAGTGTCGCAACCACGAGAAACTCCTCAAGATGGAGAGTTTGAGGCGTTAGAGCGTTTGGCCCGCGCTGGCCACTGGCAACGCTGCCTCGCACACGCCGGCGCTAGGGCTCCACATTACGCACTCAGATATGCCGTACATCTATTTAAAGCTCATCCTGTAAGTAATTATATCGATAATATATTCTTGATAATTTTTATTATCTATAGTCAATTGTAAAATGTATCCAATAGCTTTTAATTATCAAAAATACTTGTTAAAAAATAGTTTTAATTTTAATAAGTCCAAGTCAAGTTTTTTATAAATTAACTCTCTTCATTGTTCTAAATTGCTAAAAGTTCTTTTGGTCATTTTTGAGTTCATCCCAATTAGACAGACAGAATTTGTTTTATAACAATATGTTGTGAAAATACTAGTATTTACATTTTTATAATTTGTGAGACTGTGAGTTTTGACATCACGCGTATTTCTGATCATATTTCAGATCATGCGTTAACGCATCAAAAAAAATATTTTAAAAATAAAAATATTTCATATCTCTGATTTGTTTTTAATATGAGTTGATGAGTGATATTAAGTAACTTTAGTCACATCACATCATTTTGTTACTGCACTCCGAGAGCCTATTTGAATCTTACGTTTATTTATTTCTATAGCGCATGGAAGGGCTAGACATAGACAGTGAAGATATACCAGAAGCGCTAGCGCAGGTGCTAGATACGTTACGTCAGTATCTAGTCAACGGTGAAAGTGGCGACTCGACTGTCGCTAGTACTGACGTTGGACTAGCGAGAGCGGTCTGTAGCGAGCTATTAGTTCGGGTATCTACTGTGCCCAAAGCGCTTCAAGCACTGAAGGACGCTGCAGCTGTAATGCACGTGGCGGGAGCCGATGATAGAGCCATGCAGGTAAAATATTATTAGATTTCTAGACAGTTGATTTAAAGTGAAAAAAGTCGGAAAAATGCGATTTTCGAGGTTCTACGCGAAGGAAATTTTAAAACCTTGAATTTTTTAAAGCTTTCTTGTAAACTATAGTTGTAACTGTTAGGATTAGCATTTATATATTGTTAAAAAATTAAAGGCCAGTAGTTCAATGGCAAGGTTAAAAGATATAGCTAATTTTCCCAATAGCTATCGTAATAACGTGATGATATTAACGTTATATAAAGATACAGTTTTATTTTAAGAATCGTTCAACACCTGCCTTCTTAATGCGTTATTGATGTATTTGCCAGACAATTACACTGCTGATGGCACTGCATGTACCGCAAATAACAGGGCGTGCCGCTCGCGCTCTACCACGATATACGGACATTATCGTAGCTGACGTCAGTAAGTAATGTTCAACTCTATTAATAAATATAAACTTCACCCCCTTATTACAACCCCTTAAGGGATCATGACACAGACGTTTACTACAAAAATGAGTAACAAGAAACTATTTCAATTAGTAAATTAGAACAGTTTGTATACAGTCGACAAGATCTTCCGGATCCCGCTTCAAAGTATAATACAAAGTTGCTACCGCTAACTGTTTGTCCAGGACTAGAATCAACGAAACGTACCGAATAACAAAGTTAAGGGAATCCGTTTTGTATCTTTAAAAACTTTCTTAATATTTATGTTTCACTACCCTTGATCTACGTGATCGTATTAAGTTATTTAAAGAATTAGTTAATTGAAATGAGCCATTGTAAATTTTATGTGTCAATATATATTATGTATATCAGACTGCGAATAAAGGTGTTTCCATTTACCACCTTAAAGAAATAATATTATAAAGATATTGCCACAAATATCAAAATCAGGCACAGTGGACGTAGTCAGAGAAAGCAATATCCTAAACGTCAGCGTTTTTGACATATATTGTAATGCGACGTCACCGCTTAAAATGTTACTTAAATGTTAAAAAACGTTACTGAATGTTTTTGAGGGCATTAATGGATAAATCTATACTAATATTATAAAGTTGAAGAGTTTGTTTGTTTGAACGCGCTAATCTCAGGAACTACTGGTTCGAATTGAAAAATTATTTATGTGTTGAATAGACCATTTATCGAGGAAGGCTTTAGGCTATATAATATCACCCTGCAACTATTAGGAGTGAAGAAATAATGGAAAACGCCGACGAAGTCGCTGGCGGCCACTAGCTATGAATAATTACACTTTTTTGAAAAAAATAAATCATGTGTTTAATTATTACATATTACATGAACAATTTAAAATATACCTTTAGGCAATTCTACTTCTTTTGATTACTAATTATTTGCTTTTATTTTGTTGCTTGGTATATTATTACATTTATATTACAGAAGTAAGTGTGAATCAATAAAGGAATGAATGACCAAAATACATAAAGTTTCGCACTTATGACTATCACACGTGTGGTGTATACTCGTAGCAACATTGTGTTCGTAGCGTCTACGTAGCATTTTTGTAGCGTGTCACTTTTTATGATCTATTAACGTTTTCGGTCAGTTGCACAAACGTCCATTTAGGTTTAAAGACGCCTTTAAACTCTAATGAATGTAAAATTTGTATGGGTAATTTCTCATTAAACTAATGAAAACGTTAATGGACGTTTGTGCAACTGGATGTTAGTCAGTTAGCCCCTTTGTGCGATGGATATTTCTATAAGAATTTTAGGGATTATATTACGCAGTACTAATAAGAAAATGGTCATTACCATTTTCTTATTAGTACTGCTTTATATTCTATCTTAAGCATGTATTCACACTAAACGTCAAATACCGAAATCGTTACAAAATATTTTCTGTTATAAATTTGTAAAAAAATATAATTTCAATTAAAATATTTTAGTTATATTAAGTTTATATTTTTTTTTTATTTCTGTTTCATTCTCAATAATAAATCAGTTAACTAGATACAAGTGTCATTACTATGATAGTTTTTTGCATAAGCCAAAGCTTAGCGCGACCGCCGAGGTATGAACAATGAAGTACATTTGATTACCTTCTGTGTATTCTGTAGTACCAAGCTGAATTTAAACAAGGATACTTTATCTCTCTCTCTCTCTCTCTCTCTCTCTCTTTAACCATTAGAGTGTTATTCCCACTGAAATACCGGAAATATAACAAGATTGTCGGAAAATATAATAATAATAATAGTGTTGATCATTCAAAAACGAGAGAAGTAATTTTCGTGACGTCTGAATGAGTAATTTCTGTTATACATAGATTTTATACATTATACATGGTATTATACATAGTGTTTGTATGCAGCGTATTATTCATGTGGTGTGGCGATACGGTCGGAGGGCGCGGCGGGCGCACGCGAAGCATTCGTACTTCTTAATCGCTGCCTCGACCTCGCCGAGGCGGCAGACGATGATGCCTCGCATCTCCTAGACTATACTGATTTTGGTAAAATGTTCCTTTTAGTTTTATTATAAGCATTTATATTAAGTCGTGAATTTCGATGAAAGGGCCGTATTTTAGGTTGTCTTGTTGAGTGACGAGTCAAGAACATTGGTTGTGAACTATTTATTGATGGTGTGTGATGAATAGGTTGTTGTCAACTAAATTTGTTTTTATTTTATAAATAAATAGTCCATTAATATCTGAGAAATAATGTAGAAGTGACAGCATGTCTACGGTTAATAGGATCGGAGATACGGTGATATGTTTGTGGTGCTGCTGCTGGTTGACTGAAAACGTTCTCTATAAATTCAGGCACCAATTGGCGTCACACAGTGCTACGGTAGCAAAAAAAATATGGGCGTCTAGTCAATCTTAGTAATATCTTTGTTATTTGTGCGTTTATGTTTATAGCTGTAATAATAAAAGCTGTTACGTTATAAGTAACTAATTTAATGACATATGTACTTTTACAAATTTTAGTAATATATTTTCCTTACTTTTTTCAAGTTTTCAAATCGTAATATTTTCCAAATAAGTGTCATAAAATTTATTTTGTTAATTGTTTATAATTTCAAAGTTTCATATTTTCTGGTCATATAACATAAACCTATATTTTCACTTGTAGGACACAAGCCTCCTTTAAGCGAGTGTTTTGTTTTAGAATTCATCGCGGTGATGAATTAGTCAATTAATTATGTCATGACCATCTATGTGATAGTTATGTTGCCTTATTGTTTAATTCGTAACTTTTAAAACATAACATTAATACATCTTTTAGCAATATAATAGAGATTGTGCCTGGGTAAAAAAAGAAAATTATATTTAGTATCAGTCGGTCGGTCAGAAAATTATTTTCTTTCTTCAATTTAACAAGTAATAGCTTAAAATAATACACATCAAAGCTGAGGACTAGGGGCTCGGGGAGTGTAAAGTTATACGAGATTTTAACTCAATGTATCGTTTGTAATTTATTGATCACGCGAAAAATTAAAAAATTCATAATTAATATTTTCAATAAAACATACAAAAAAAAAAAAGAATTGTCGTCATTCCTTTTATACTCAGTATGTATCGTATATGTGTGACGTCTATAAATTAAGACGGCAAGTGTCCAGGTTGATAAATTCAAGAGTCTACTCTATTCTGATTATTCCAAAATTGCGTTAATGTTTATTTTATTTGATGAGATGAATTGTGTCTCGATTTATTGTTTGTATAATATTATATTATGAATTGTTTTTGTCTATCAACATTATTCCTTTTTGTACAATTTCGACAGTTAGTGTTATTAGTAACAATGTTTTTACTCTTCCATCACGTGAGTTCCCATAGGAACACATCAGTTTTATTCACAGCGAGATTGGGTTCACTTAATGTTATCAATGAATTTCTATACAGAGTGTACGGACTGGTCGCGTACGCCACTTTTATTGGAAAGTTCTTGTGTCCGCGGTGCGCCGTTAGAAGATATACGCGAGTGGGTGTTAGCCGTCTCTATGGACCAAGCTGTTGAACAGGTATAATGCGACAATATTGTATTGCATATAGCGGTGATTTTAGGTCTGTCAGTATGAACCACGTTTGCCGGTCGCTTTACCTTACCTTTCCTTTACCGATGGGCTCATGAGAGGTCGAGGTCAAAGGCTCTTATATCTTTTAAGAACCGCAGTGAAGCAGAGAGGTGTAGTGGAATAATGGGTTTATCAATCAATACATAGTGTAAATCAAAGTGGCTTTCCGTCCTCTATCCCTATGTATGCTTTGATCTTTAAAACTACGCAATGGATTTTGATGCGGTTTTTTTTTATAGATAAGGTGATTTAAAAGGAAGGTTTTTATGTATGATATAAGACCATGCGGCCAAAGCCGCTGGCGGGAAGCTAGTTGATAATATAAATATAGAGATCACATAGACGGTACAAGCTAATTCATGTTTTTTTTTATTATTTAGATAGATTTGGAAGACCATAAAAGAATGATATTTATTTATAAATCACATAAGAAGTATTTCAACTAATGTATCCGGTGGCAACACAACAAAATGGCGTCAATTTGTGTAGTCAGGTTTCCGATAAAGTTAGATGTTCAGAAATCATGTAGACTGAGTTAAAGGAGATATTTATAGTCAACTTGCCGGGCTATGTGTGTATATGCTTGATATAAGGCTATGAGTATTATTTTTTATATAGATACATTAAAAAATAAAATGATATCGAAACAATCTAAGCGTCTACATTTCCATAGAATCCAAAAAAAAAGACTTTATGACTGTAAGTATTATATATGCTTGAATATATTATGATTTTACGTATATAAGTGAATTATAGTGCTCCGGAGATTAACATATGATTGCGTGTTTAATTCTATGCTCACTGCAATTGGTGGTTGTTCGTTTTAAATAGTGGTAATTGCTTATATACTCAATGCGCGTCTGTACAATCAACAACTTTATGTTACATACAGACGCTACCGGAAGACAGTAGAAGCATGTACGCTTCATCGGTCGGAGCAGGAGAGCCGTGCTGCGTGCTGACAGGATATCCACTCGGTTCTCGATTAGTTACTTTCACTAATGGTACGTACTTATCGATATCGAGTATATGTCATGTTGACATACACCTTTGCAGTCTTGAATTTAAAAATGAGTTATAGGTAGTGATGCCACGAACACGAATATTCGGATTCGTCAAACTGTAGATATTTGTCTAATAATACTATCGGGAATATTAATATAATCTATTTAACATTGAATGTAACGCAAATTAAATTTGTGAGCCCTGCTTCAACGTATTTCATTTATAGTTTGTTTATTAAAAGCGATGATTCCTGTGACAAATAGTCAAGTGGCATGCGTGGAGTTGAGACATTTTACAACAATTAATGGTCCTAAACAACTATAGCTTTACTAATTACAAATAAATAACCGTTTTAAAGTCACACCTAGCTCTGTTCCCGTCATTCCAATATGATTTTCAGTTTAAATAAAAAGACAATACACTGTATAAATGTCGAAGTAGCATGTCGATAGTTGAGTTTCTGTTTATATGAATTAATAGTTTTAAATAATAATTGTTATTTATGTTACAAATGTTACGCTTTATGAACAAAAAATTACCGGTATTAAATATTTGTTACCTTGTTGAATTATTCGTACTCGTGTTCACCGAATACCTACTAGACATTAGTATTCGTTGCATCACTAGTTATAAATATTGATATTTACTTAATGATCCAGTAAATTAGGCAGTAAAGATAGTTTTTTTAAATATTATATTTCACATGATATAGTTAAATCATCGTTGGCATTAAAAACACAAATGAATACCATAGGCATTATCTACCAGTCTGTCTTAAAAAGATGTTGGAGCCTGCATGTTAGACGACAAGAATAATACAATACTCAAAAATGATAATATACAAATATATTATAAAATTATAATGTTAACGCCATCTATCGACGGCCAAAAGTAGATCAATATTTTGTTCGCTAACAGGCCGCTGCGCTAATCGTGAGTCATGGTCTCGAGTAGCGAGCGCTGCGAGAGCTGGTGGTAACGCTGCAGCACTATTACAACATATAGACCGTTGGTGTGGGCCCGCTGACTACACTCACGTGTGAATGAACCTTGTGCCGTCCGCACATAATTTATGTATAAAATGGCAGTATTATAATTATATGTAATCGGGTCTTGTTCGTGCATTTTTTTAAACTATTAATTTACCTCGACGTTTCGGCTACGTTACAGCAGCCGTGGTCACGAGGAGACTGGAGAACTGGCGGGTGTCGTCTTCTGATTTTAGTTGAGGCGTGAGGGTAATCCGGTAATAATGTTTTTAACAGATTTTCAGATGTACCCTCCACTTGATTTTATTGTACGTAAAGGTGGCGACACACTGCACTTACGGTATCCGAGAATATTGTTCGTGGTTGTTTGCGATCGCGACACTTACACATTTTTATAACCGGATTCCACGTTGGTGAGAGTTTATATCCACTTTCCCGGTTGAAATTGTTGTGTTTTTTGATTTCAACCGCTTCACGAACAATCCTTGGATAGTAATGTCGTTCAGTGGAAAGGATATGAGGTGTATGCAACTCGATCCAGTGGTTTGATCCAGATGATAATAAGTGCTCTGCAATCGCGGACTTCTCCACTTGACGATTTTTGACCGCTGCTATGTGTTCGCCCGCCAGTTCTCCAGTCTCCTCGTGATCACGGCTGCTGTAACGTAGCCGAAACGTCGAGGTAAATTAATAGTTTTAAAAAATGCACGAACAAGACCTGATTACATATAATTATAATGTATACAAATCGTGTGAGATTAAAAATATTAAATGGCAGTATATAGTTACTCTATACAGCTTATGTAGTTCGTATTGCGTGCTACTACGTGCGGGTAAGTACTAGTTTCAAAAATTCAATCCAGACACGGGACGGGACTAAAATAATTACTTAATATATTAAACTGACCCGCGGGTGTAGAATGGGGTGGGTTAAATGTAACACTCGCTTTATTTATAGCAGTTATATTAAGATAATTGTAAATTCTCGGTTTTATATCATCATCATCATCATCATCATCATCAGCCCTTTTACGTCCCCACTACAGGGGCTCAGGCCTTCCTTATGGATGGTTAAGGAGGATGGGTCATGACCCTCCACGCTGGCCCAATGCCCATTTTCCATTCGGTTTTATTTAATAATTGTAAATTAATAATTGTAATTTCAAGGTCTCTCGCCGTAGATTTACGAACCGATGGCGTAGCTCTCGACTTTCACAAGTGCTTGTAACAGCCTAGACTGAATAAAAATTTTGATTTGATTTGTAAATTTGCCTATGTAACTAATAAAACAAGTAGACGACACTTAAGAGGACAATAAATAAATGCTCATAACTAAGTTCTGATAATCTGTAAACGTAAATACCCTATTTTAACTTCGTTTCCCTAATGATAATGACAATAATCTAAAATGTGACATGATATACATGTTTCATGATGATAAAATGACAAAATTCATAACTCGTGTAATTTGTTTATATGGAAATTGATAACATTTTTAGCTAAGGGAGATTTTACATTAAAAGTAATGGATTGCGTTTAATTATTTTATATTCACTATTAATTTCGCACAATAACTATCGACTGTTTATATTTTATCGACAGGCAAGTTGCATTGCATTTCTAGCGTTATGCGTTCTCATTTGTTCGGTTACATTTTTATGTAAGTTATTTAGATTAGCTTTTGAATTCATTCTAAGTTATTATTGCAGTGATACTGTGTACATTTTTCCATGATTCTTCTATTGTGAGTTGTAGAATAAAGATAAGATGTGAAGTAATTATGAAGGGTTTTATTTATAAAGACCTATACGTCTATATTTATAAAAATGAATCGCCGAAATGTATGTACGCGCATAGCTTCTGAACCACTGCACCAAATTGGATGACTCTTCTTTACTTGCTCCATATAAAAATAATCATACAATGTATAAAAAAATATATAAAAAACGGGTATATGAGGTTACTAAGTTCGTTGGGTCAGCTAGTATATAAATAATAATTTTATTGAAAGTTTATTATAGAAATGGAAAAGTTTTTTGGAGGAGTAGATAGGAAGGTAGCAGATAGTAGGAAAAGGATTTTGTTTATAATAAAACACCAGCAGAATGTTAATATCGCTATAATAAACTCATTTGTTATCACATTTATTTAATAATATATTTTGACACACATATTTGTTACGTACTAGGATTTGTAGAGTTCTACTCCGTTTTAATGACGAATACGGGGAATCGATTTCGTATAAAATTATAGAATTAAATTAAATTAGATGAGTTAAAGTAAAGAATTATATAAATTATATAACGTAGCACACATTGATTTCGTAGCGTCTACATATAGCCGTAGCAGTAGCTTCTAAGGAAAATATACTTTTGATACGGTTATATATTGATTTTGTAGTGTCCACTAAGTAGTAGAAGTTTGTAAATGTAAAATGTAAGTTATTACATGACGTGTTGGTAAATGTCAAGTTATGTCTATTAAACGTCATTAAGGCAAAAGATTTTGTCTGTAAATTATGTAACTGTGTTAATGATACCGATGTATCATATCATATAATAAAAATATTGACTTCGTTAAAAACAATGACGCCATTTTTAGACTGCTTTCCTCTTTTAGATCTTAATTTGCGTAAGTGCGTAACACCAGTTAGAATTTGAGACAACAATGAATCGGTTATTACAAGAGATGCGTCGAATAGTGGTTTCATCGACTTCCGAATATTATTCGGTTTAACTTTCACCGAACCGGATATTCAGTTGCATTAAACGTTTTACCATTTCACTGGTTTGCTGTTTAAAAAGGGTTAAAACAAATGTTGATTTGGTATAGCTATATTAAATATATTTTTCATAGGATCTCTTTGACTTGTCATATGGCATAAATCTTAAAAGAGAAGTTTTGTTGTATAGTATATTATACCGTGTCATGTAGATAAGAAAATAGAAATACTTGAACCGAGTATATTCGGCATCAAAAACGAATAATTCAGCTGAATACAAATAGTGAAAATGATGCCGAATACGTCGAATACCGAATACCAAACGAATATTCTGCGCATCTCTAGCAATTACTATACGTATTGATTAATTTACATTATTATTGTTTCACTTTGTTGTACAAATTGTGACTTGACTTTTCCATGTGACTGTAAAAATATGGCTAAGGTATGATTTTTTGTTTAGTTATTTCGTAAGAGATAACGAAAATATTCATTAATAAACATCCTTAATTATTGCAAGGTAATGTGAATAAAATCATGATGATCGGTTTTTAAGCTTTAAATAAAAGAAATTATTCACAGCACGATTGTGAGTAATGAGAAGTCATTATAAAGTGAAGAAATTGTATTTTACGAATAGGCTCGGCGATGTAAGTTGCGTGGACGAGTCTATTGCCTTTCTTTTACATTATTCTGTACGTGATTCACGCACTTAACTATGTCTGTAAAATTGTCGTTGTTTTCGATTATATCACTGGTGGTGAGGATATAAGCTTTGCTATTCTATAAGAAAAAAAAAATCAGCGTCGAGCACAACTGTAATACAGCTTAGAAAGGTTAGAGGTTCAATCAAATAACTTCAAAAGGTAATGAAGGTTTTTAATTGGTCGAACCTTTGTGGTTCAGTGGTGGTTTACATTAGCAAACCTTAATGGTTTATCGTGAAATAATATATGTTTAGAATTCCCTGTATTCGTCACCAAACGAAATTAAAAATTTTGTATCTACGAAGGAAACGTAATACTAAGGTAAGAAATTTAAGGTACAGTCGACAACACGCCAGGTTACTAAAAAGGTCAAATTTGTCCAATCGATTTTATGTTCATAGATAAGTTCAAAATTAATGCCAGTGATTTGGCCTTCTGTAACTAGATGTGTTGACGTGTGTACAATTTATAATATCCGATACCAATATCACATTGATTCGTCGTTCAAGCTACTCAGGGAAATGCTATAAAATGGACCACGTGCTAATTTTTAACATCACTAAACAGATATGTTTCAAAGTAGTTTTCTGAAGCTATTCATATATCGGATATTATTTTACAGGTACAATTCAGATATGTCACAAACTCATGTTAATTTTCGTGACGATAAACTTTACTTGCAATGCTTTACAGAGTGGTAAGTGTAAGTTTTACGTAAACGCGTACACTAGCGAGCGCATTAAGAATTTGTATGGAAATGTATAGTTCTTAGTAGTTACCGCTAGGGGCGTTGTACCAGGTTCCATAGTAAAAACTTGACGCGACTTGAAAAGGTGAGCCTAAACGTAAAAACACTTACACTAAGCGGTCTGATGTGCTCATGATAAATATCCAAGCGGTATCGGGGGTCTTTGAGGCACAATAATATTAGATATAAATGTCTTTACATTTTGTTACTTAAGTAAGAATATTATTTTTGTTTATACTAATATATCAAGATAATAAGCGTAAGTTACTTTCGACCGACACCGATTGTTTCAGTGTCGGTAGTGATTTATTTATATATAAATATATTTAACGATAAATATTTATTGAATATTTAATGTCAGAATAAGTTTGTCCCCAACTCAACGGAATATTAAAAATTATAGTGTAAAAATAGATTTCATTCCAGCTAAATATTTTTTTTTTTACTAGGAAATCAACGATTAATTTCCATGATTATTATGTACTATATAAGAAGGAAATATGAAGGTAGATACGTTTTAATTTTTTCTCTCTCTCTTAGGATATTATACAACCATTATGAAAAGTAGCTACATAGAAGAATGATGAGCTTGATTTAAACTATCGAGTGACGATATTATAATAGAGATGATGACTAATTTTTGTTTGTCCATCAAATAGATTATTGAATAATATTAAAAATGTATTTCTCATTTTTTACGTAATCAATAAATTACGGCGACACATTGTACTGAAATGTCGCATGACGTCACACCTTAGTACATTTTTCTATGTAGTTGTGAATTAGCCAGTTCCACTTCTCAACTTAAGTCATTTCTTGTTATATTGCCGCAAAAAATACGTATCTAATATTTTTCTATAATCTGACTGATGGAGTAAATAGAATTCCCTTTTATATCCCGTCATCATTCCTATCAAAACATTGAAAATAAGCGAAGTATTGTCAGGTGAACTACTCAGCTATATTTAGAGATCATGGAAGAACACAGATTTTTAACGAGGTATCATATACATTACACTCGTATAAGATATGTAATTTGTAGCTAAGCATCGAGAAAGTATTAAACCATTCATTCAATATGTATTAACGTCTATATATTTAATTTATGTAATTTATATGTAAGCTACTGTTTATGATGTAGGCCAGTCATTTGAAACAAGCTGTGCTTGCAAATATTTGCTTTTACCTGATTATGACGCGAGTACACTACGCATTCTAACATGTGAATGATCAATGGTAATTCTGAGAAATGCTATCACGTGAAATGTTTCTGTTGTATCTTAACTATATGGTCTAATTAGAATTACAATAGATGAAACATTATTAGAAATATGTATGTCGGATTCATATCTACAGGTTTATAAAAAGATTTTTAATTTTATATGCTATCACGAAAATAGTTGTGCGTAGAAAAATTTGAAAAATAACTAGATATTCGTATTTACAGTGTTTAGGATTAGGAAGATAAATTGTCAAAACAAATGTACCTATCGCCAACAATTATTGTAGATTCTTTAGCGATGTTACAAAGGAAGTATTAAGGTATACATTAGGGAAAATTCACTAAAGCACAACCTTGGAAGAATAGTAGTACCTAGACGCGCTTACTCACTATAATAACTTTAGAAGTTTTTTAATCATATAAGGCAAAGTTGTTAAAGTTGGGGTTATTTGAGATGAGACGTATCTTAAGTGGTATTTATAGTCAGTATAGATATTCTAGTTACGATAGATGTGTAAGTATACATGGCTCGCTAAAATCGACTTTTATTTAAATGACAAACTAGGTGCAAGGGCACATTTTATTATGACTTCAGATTATAGAGCTGATATACTAGAGTAAATAAGACATATAGCCGTCCCTAAATGGAAATGTAACACTGTTAAAAAGAGATGGAGAATCAGAGTAACCCAATCAGTTTCTCTCTGCTCGCGCATGTATTGTAAACGACAGTATTATTTTCGAGTAATAGTATGAAATCATCTTCAATATCGTAAGTATTATATTTAATAAAATATAATACATTAAAATTAGTCGGTGTGTGTATAACGGGGCACTGAGGAAAAGATTTAGGAAAATTTTGATCACAGTTCTAACCTAACCTAACTGAATTCAAACGTTGTTGACTGTATTCTATATATTCAAAGCAAAAAAAAAGTAATTTATGAAAAAAGTACCAGGGACAAAGTGGGTTTTAAGCATTTTTCATTAAGAATATTTTTAATTATAGTAATTTTGCATTCAATTGATCAAATATTACAAAAAAATGTTTATTCAGCGTCCCGTTAGGCGTATCTTTTAAAAATTATTTATTTCAAATACTTATTCTTTGCTATTGTATTTTTTTTTGTTTTTACTACAATTTTCATTGTAAGCATTCTGTGGCTAATTAAAAAAAAAAATGTGTGAACGTCTAAGTGTAACATTTATAGTGTTAAGCATTTTGATGTCTTAATTTTTTTTGCACAACATTAAAAAAATAATGTAGTGGAAAAATGTTTATAATAACTTATAAAAGTATAGTTGGTAACCCTACGTATACTCCAGACAGGGGGGAAACCACGATGTTTTCAGTAACGTCTTGATGCTTGGTTTACTTACTGTAGTATAACAGCTCATTGATATATTTACACGCAGTGGTCTAGTGTCAAATATACAAAGAATAAAGTATATTCTTTTAGACGTTCTAATATAAAACATGCTTCACATTTCTTTTGATATTTTTTTTCTGCCCGATTAATAAATATTTATGACAAATCTTAACATACATATACATTACACAAAACATATAAAATTGGCTACTAATATATACATTAGGCGTAAATACGCAAAATAGAACGTAGTTTTTTTAAATCTATATATATCTTTATAGATAACTAATCCTTAAGCGACTGAAGATTTACTGTAAAGCGAGCAAATTAAGCCCGATTTGTGAGTCTATGAGCGATTTAAGTCTATGTTTAATATGCGTTTAAGAGACGAAGCATCTTTCTATAAGCTCCTCTTTAATCTACCATCTAAATCAAAATGGTTTCTCCATACAATCTGACTGACTTGCCGTTGCGCTAACATCAATATAATAATAACATCTAAATGGCCTCAGAGATATGAGAGGCCAAGGATTATTTACAATGTCACGATACACCGAATACACAAAAATAGTACAAGTACAATAAATCTATGGGTCAACATTTCATTGTAAATATTTACACTTTTTGGGTTACATCAAAACCTAAGACGGAGCAAAGTACAGCATATTTGGGCGCATTAAATGTTACTAATTAGTATGATTACTAATCAGTTAATAGCGTATCCGCATTTTCAAATTAGTAAAACATTTATTGTTGCAGCAAATATAATTAAGTTAGAATATAATAGTTTCCAAAAACTTTAAAAAAGTAATGATAAATTATATTTATACACAAAAGTCCTTCATCTTTGGTTTACTTTCGTATATAGTATACTGTAAGTATGTGTCTTATTTATGAAATGCTTAAAATTAGTTGCATTATGAAATCAGTGATTTTTTGCAACTCCGTGGGTGGGCTGAGACTGTCTAAGCATTTTTCATTTTATCGACTAGAAGGATTTGACATAATTAACTGACTCGCGGACTATTAAAGAATGATGAGCACTGAAGTCAAATTTTATGTCTATTCGGCAGGCCCTCGAGCGACGTATGACGTGAACAAATAACCAATAAGCACGTCTGGTGCTTTTTGGTTATTCGAACGAATACTTTTAAGCTTAATTGGTGTTGGTACTTCTACTTATGCAATTATTAACTTAATTGTTGCTCGATCACACGTGAGTCGACCTTAAAGGAACAAATGATGAAACCTAAATTAATGTTAACGATATTATTTGTAAAATAAAAATGCGGTTACACTTTGCAGTGCCAGCGCGAGATAATGCAGTTTTGAATGCATCGATTTTTATTATGCGGGTGGGTGCTATTAAAAACTGCATTTTCACTGTAAGCACTCTACGTAGGACTGTAATGGGCGCTAGTCGTCGCGGCGCTCCGGCGACGACTCCCGCGATCAGTCGGGAGATTCCTCGCCGCCGAGTGAGGTAGCCGGGAACAATGGGTACCAGCCGTACGTTCGCTGGGGCAATGTCAGTTTGTCCAGACAGATTTCTGCGCCACCCAACGCGAGGTTGTGCTCGAAGCCGCCGCACCGTTGCCACAACATTACTACCAGAGTGCGTCCTAACGCTTCACTAGCCTGCAACCGAAGCTTGGATATAGCTTTTCTTTTGAGATGAGATATTTTTATGTTTTCTGTTTGTTCTAATATTGATAGTAAATTATGTTTAGGAGTACCGTTTAAACATGTTAGTGTATTATACTGTTTCTGTAAACCAGGGGTTCCCAAATTTATTTCGTCTACTGCTCTCTCAAAATAATAAAGTATTTTAAGCGCCCACATTTCGTCACTAATTTTAAACCACGATAACTTCAAATTAAACTAATTATTGTGTGTTATAATATAAATCACAATAATTAATATAACTGTTATATTGGCATTCATTTTAAACGAGAGTTTTATTATAATCCGCAAGAGTTAACTTGAGACCTGAGCGCAGTAGGTAGTATACAAGTCTCAACTTTCTAAGCCTCTACATAACGCCCCCATTTAGGCCTGCAGCGCCCACAAGGGGGCGTTATCGCACACTTTGGGAAAGGGTGCTTTAAACTATGTTACTCAATGTTGACATTTTTAGGGTATATACCTGGTACTTGAGCGTTTGTTTGAAGTGTGGTTCTGTTGTACGGCGGATAACACGAGTTTTGCGTTTGTGCAACCACTTGTCGCCGTCGCGCAAATAACATTTCACGTACGAGTCTGGCACCTCACCGTTCACGCCGTATACGCGCCGTGCGTGTGACACCTGGTTATAGAACATATTATGATTAAAGAACAACGCACTATAATTGATCTCCAACCTATTATTTTTTTGCAAAGAGAGTTGTACGAACTATGCATAGTTTTGATAATTAAGCATTTTTACAAGTGTACCTTGTTTCATAAATCTCACTTAATTGACACCCCTATTATCTTCAGCTATTAATACCTGCCCGTAGTGTTAGTGTTTTACCTCTAATTCAAGTTGCCCTTTGATCATAATGATGCTGATATTGATCTCAGCGTGTAGAGGTGGTAGATGCGCGTTACGTGGCGGCAACTGTCCCGGTCCTAGTGGCACCTGGTCGCCGTCGTCGGCCACCGCGTCGCACGCCCCCGCCGCCGGCACTGCCGCCCACATGCTGCCCTTGCGCCCCGTCGCCGTACCTGCGGCCCCACAACAGATACCACACGCACTCGCCGCCAAATGTGACCCCACTCGACTCGATGCACGCGCGAGCCAGCAGAACCACAATCTAACCGGCCGAAGTGATATAACTAATTCTGCTCAACTGATCAATAACATTTATAATATGAAAAATAACACAACGAAATTTTCAAATATTAAAACCATTCAATCGAACACTTAAAGATGATCAAAATAAACATTACATAAAATAAGCACGTCAAACAGCTTCGTGCTAATGTATACAGTTGATTTACATATAGATTCTTATCGGACCCGTACCTAAATACACAAATGGAAGAGAAAGCGTCTCAACGTGTGCAGCCAAGAGTGTAGACGAGATTCTAATAGTTGCCTGAAGCGGTCTCCAATTTTTTAGGTATGGTAAGCATTCCGTGTTATGAACAGCCATTTATATATTTTTATGTAAATATATGCACTTTGTGAAGAGTTCTTTGTTTTTTAGCTCATGCCTTGGCTTCCGCGCGTCTACATGCGCGACTGCGACCTACTCGAGTACGGTCCCCTCGATGCATTACATCCATTCCCTATTTGGAAAACTCAAATGAAACTCATCCAGTAAAATTTGCTACGGCCTAGTGTTTAAGATAATAAATATTTACAAGAAACTAATAGTATGCGCATCGTAACAATGAATATGACATTCGCAGAGGTAATGAAATCCATAACATCCTAGGCGACACAATGCCATCGAGATGAAGACGGGCAACCGAACAAACGGTACACAAAGACAGATGAAGTGAGCGTGATCGCCCGCGGCCGGGCATGCGTCAGGACAGAACAGAACAGACACAGTGAAGTGATGAAAAGCTTCGGGCGCAGCCACATTCAACGGTGCGTGCGCGCGGCCGCCGCGCAAGCGATGTATGGCCCATGCTACTACGTGGCCCGGAACCCTATTCTGATCCTCGACTCGGCCGCATCGGTGGCCTCCACCATCTGACACGTACGCGTTAGACAGAACAGACCATTCGAGGTGGCTGATGTGTCGAGAGAGAATCGGAGTAGAGGGGCTGGCGGCCGTCGGACGTCACAAGGGATCGCGTACACCGTCACCGCGCACGACACAACCCTGCAGGGCGCACGCACGGGTGCGGGCACTAGTAGTCGCTTACCGAGGATCTAACGGTCCGTCGCTGCTGACCAAAACAAGCACAACACAGTACAAGTCAGTACTACCCTTAATGTTCGCATTACTATATAGTTTGTGGAAAGGGGTTCGGTCTTAATATGATAATGTTTTATAATTATTTAGGTGGCAGTCGGTTTTTGTTTAGGATACAAGGTATCGTTTGAGTGTTCAGCCTCATAATGATAATTGCCAGGGATAAAACGATCATTTAAATAAAACCGTGCCAATAAAAACTAAATAAAATAATTGTCGAAATAACTGAGAGAAATAAATATAACAATAGGTTTAATAGAATGAAAAATAATTAAAATGTTTATATATTGTTATTACACATATTTTCAATGTATTTTAGTAGCTAAATACGATGAAATGTTTTGTTAGTTGTTACAAGCCGCATTGAAACCAGTGTCTTTTGAGAAAATTTTATTTTATAGAGAACAAGGATGGTATCTTGAAGACATTAGATACTATGACATTTCTATTCAAATTGAATAATGAAAACACTGATTTTAATTAAGCTTGTGAATATAACAGTTTTGTTAATAGTCGTAAAATAATCACATTAATATTATTGAAAAGTTATTTTAAAATTTTCATTTAGGTTATTATTTAAAGTAACGAATGTGATGATGGGTTAGTGTTTGCGGCTAGCGATTACTCACGCCTGGCGGTGGACCCGGATAGTGATAGCGTACGGCCCAGCTCGCCCTTCACCGCTCTCAATGAACGCAAGATGTCGTCAGGATCGCGTCGAACGCACGAAGAGCGACGTCGCTCGCGTCGTCCGCCGCCACTCGGGCCCGGTGCACCCGCATCACCACCGCCCTCTACGACATACGCACAAGCGCACAAGCTTTGCAGTGCACAGATGGATTGTGCAAGTGCAATCCTTTCAAATACCTTGTTTCCCAAATGCTTTGCGCAAAATCCGCTATAAAGAGTGCTGAATAAAGATTTACATTGCGAAAGTAGTCGCATGTAATTAGTTTCATTGCATTAATTTAACTTCCACTTTGGTAATGCATGCATTACTTTCACGACACTGAAGTAGTTTCGTGCAATCCTGATATTCCTGATGAAACTATTTCAACTCGATTTACGTGACGAAACTACTGTCGTGTTTAGTCTGCGCATAGAAAAGCTTTTAAATTGACGGAGTCAGTGTCCCAGACATACTGTTGATTGCACATTACGAAATTAGTTCAAAATGTGCAAAAAATATTTTTCGTAAAACTTGAAACTTTTAAGTACATAAACTTTTAAGCTCCCCCCCTGTGGAGCCGAACATTATATTATCATATTTTTAGGGATTTTGAAGCATGATCGTCCCATCGTAGCCTATTATTTGTGTATAAACGATTTGTAAGGCTCATTCTTTTTATAACAGTAAATAGGTATTATATAATGATGATTTTTGTCGCACCCCTAACACTGGCGCCCGAGCCCAACCCAACTTCCCCCCTAGATTTGTGCCTGGCAGTAGGTTATCTGCCTGTTTATGTGCTGTTGATTGTACAATATTTGGAACACAGTTCGTGGCCTTTTTTAATATATTATCACGCCGAAACTACTGAACGGGTATTAGCTGACTTAGACAATATTGACTTCAAATATAATACGCTGTATGTTTATGGTGCTTACAAAGACTTTTCTAATTTAATGTGGTTAGTGTTTATTGTGAGGGAGAGTTATAAAATTATATTTAAAGGCGAGTTTTGCTCATTCTTATGTTAAGTCACGCATTTTAAGGGGTATTAATATTTTGTTATCATAGAAGAAAAAACAAAAACAGTAAAAATCTTATGCTTTACGTAATTTTTGTTTGTTTAAGACGAAAAATTGCTTTTAATCGTAAAATCGTTTTATAAACTTATAAAAATCACATTGATGATTATTGAGATTTTTTATCGAGACAATTATTCAAATACATATATTATCTGTTCTCAAAATAATACAGGTATTAAGAATAAAACGTATACTTAGTATTTAGTAAAACCTCCCTTAAAAGACACTTAAGATCTTTAATTTCTCAAACTTAAATTACGTAGATAATTGGTTATTTGCGTTTCACAAATAATGCCGAAAATGTGCAAATCAAAATTTTGCAAGAACTAACTTTTTAATGGTGCACGTAAGTGAAAAGTATTGTGACGATTAAGTAAAATGAATAAAGTGATTCATTAAAAACACTTGTATGTACAAGTTTTCTTTTACTTACGTATCCGTATGAGTGTTAGTTGCAAGTTACGAAAATAGTCTGGGAGAGTTTGAAAAGAGTTTGCCTAAGTGAGAAAAGTGTAGTTTACAAGCACAATCGGTATATCTCATTACTACATTATTAAACAAAGTATTATTAATGGAAACAAACTAAACTAGTAAGTAGAAACTTCATAAGTTATAATTATTAGTTATAAAGTTCTATCGAGTAGATGTTATAACCACAAATTATAATTTCATTACGCATTCTTGTTAGTTTGGTTAAATAATATTTATTAAGTTACCAAGTTCAAGAGTTAAAAATGATGGTTCGCTTTTTGACGATCGTTGAAATGCGTCTTTTATTATCAAAAGTTGAGGTATGGTGATGGCATATTGATAGATTGATTAATTTATTGATCGGAGTATATAGACTTATTTACCTTTTTCTTGTTGCTGGAATGAAGATCTGCGTGAGCCAGGTAGTGAACGTGAGAAATCCTTGCCTAGTTGATAGACCTCCACTTCTAGAGTCTCCGACTGGGATGATCCACGACGCGAACCGCCGACCCACGCGTGGTCAGGGTGTAACAGCGAAGCGCACTCGCCAATTGAATCTACGTCATCTGTCACATGGACAGACAATAAATCAAATCGATAATCTTTGTAAAAAACTTTGTAAGTGTAGTATTAAAATATAATGAAGCCTCAACAATCCAAAAATAAAAACGAGCAAGTGCGAAACTGACATGCGCGCAGAGTTTGTGTAAACGTAAATTTTAAATAGAGATATTTATGCACGATTTTTCATGATGTTCTACAATCCGAGGGCGCCTGCTCAAATGCGACGAATATATCGTTATAAATATCCAAGTGATTGCTATTGGTTCGAATGGCATATCTAGGATTAATGAATTTTTTGAGCTTATATCTTAAATAGATCATCCTTTTATTATAAATGTAAAAGTTTCTTTGTTTGGAAGTTTGTCCGTCAATCACGCGGAAACTACTGAACGGGTATTAGCTGACTTAGATAATAGGATACTTTTTAATTCTCACTGAACATTTCCCTAGGGTCCACGCGGGTGAAGCTGTTGGCGAAAGCTAGTTAAGATATAAATTTCTTATCTTAAATAGATATAAATATCAAAAGTAATTTGACATATTTCGTTTTTTGGCAATTCTACCTCAATCGCTGCATGGCATCGTTATTGGATATTTTAATATTGCACATAATGTCGCTAGCTAATATCGACTATATTCTGTTCCAAGGACTGGAGAAAAACAAATAACGACCTAAAGTATTGTTCTCTATAAAGGTCTGTATTGTTTCCGCGAAACCTATAACGCAGTATGTACGTCGTGGACTCCACCCTGTTGTGTTAGTGTTATAAAGGTGAAGACATGAGCTAGATAGAGAAAGATGATATATTGTGCAAAATTTGTTCAAAAAACATATTTAAATAATTAATCATAAAGATTGTGAAATATTGTAAAATAGTTCAATATCAGTTGCATACTTATTAATTATTACTAATAATAAAGCCTTGTAAGAGACAAGAAGAAATTGCATATTTTTGAAATTATACCATGTCTTGAGAAAGAAAATAGTACTACACTATATTTTATATCAGTTCACTCAGACTACAGTCAGACTAGTTTTTTACATTGAGTTACAGCTTACTATAGAATAGAAGTTACGTTAGCAAATCACAGAGACATTCAATTTAATTGCAAACAAACAATTACTTACCGTTATCACAGATATTTAATACTACCCTTTATATACTTTATATTGGCATCATGGCAAAAAATTACAAAACAAAGAATTGTTATTGAAATAGGTACTGGCAAATCTGAAAATTCTTTATATAGAATCGGCAGGAAAATCGATTACTATACGGATTGATACTTAGCATAGACTATTTTTTTTTAATAATTATATTTACAATTCATACATCTACATATATATAATAAATAAAATTGGAGTGTCTCTAATATTAAAATAACCGCTTTTCACTAACTACATGGTATAACTATGTATATATATACACGGTACTTATACAAATTCCTGGTGACCACAGATTCCTACTGAAACCAATTTCGGGCTCCAGTCTATACAAAATTAGAATGCAAAATCTTTTTAAGAATCTTAAGACTCACATGTAAGTACATAATTTTGTGTTAAGAGAATAAATGAATATTATTACATTTTTTGTTCCGGCTAATCTCTGAAACACCTCGACCAATTTTGACGGGACTTTCACTGGCAGATAGCTTGTGAAATAAGGGTTGACTAAGGCTACGCGGACCACGCGGACGATGTCGCGGGCACAGCTAGTATTAGAATATATTTATTTGTTATCGATGTTCCAAACTCGAAAAAGTGTAGTAAAACGCCCTAAATAGTCGATAAAATTAATAATTAATAAAGCTCATGCATTAGTTCAATTACACATATAGTCGGTTATTGAATTGAGAAATATACAAAATCTCAATTGATTATTCTTAGTGACTAAGGTTTTTTACATTTCACAAAGCAAAAAGTCATAGTTCAAAACTGATTATTAAAAAAAAATATATTAATTAGAAACGTTAACCTGTTTAAGTAACTTTAAGTACACTTTGAGACTTTTCTTTAAAACAATTTTATTTTATATATTAACGATTAGAGACAGATTCTCAATTCAGTAACCGAGTGTTAGACATTGGACAATATAGAAGCCATTCAAGTTTAGAAAGTAATTAATCAAGACGAGGCCTAATATTTTTATAATTTGGCAACTTAAAATTGAGAAATACGATGTTTGCATTAACATCAACAATAAAACAAAATTAATTAATTCTAATAAACTTCTTAGTGAGCTATTCTCACAATTCCGCTCACCTTGTACGGTCAGCAACGAAAACCCCTATACAGGTAAAATATTGATATATTTCTCATACTTATACTTCAGAATATTCGTATCAAGTACCTATCTGTATAGGTGTTTTGCAAATTTGTTAGTATATTCTCTATTTATCAAATAAAATTGCAGAATTCTGCTTTAGATTTGTGAGAATTCTCAAACATTTATGGTAAAACATCGAAAAGTCTGTAATGAAAATTCTTTTGGCGCTCATAGACTCAGTATGTGCTAATATATAAGTAGATTTAACGATGTACGACCAACAAACATCGTGAGCCATCGAATAAACAAACGACATATATAAGAGATATGCACCATTCACCACATTTGCGTAGAAAGAGAATAGTGACTAGGAGAATAGATCAAATATGATCATTGTCTAGTTGAAGCGTATTGTGTCCAGGTGTTCCGTTGCTGTCCGTACCAGATGCGGAGCGCTGGGAGGAAAAGTCGCCGCGTCGTAGCGCGCGCGCACCGGTAAGTGAGCCGCGCGGGGAAGCACTAGCGGACCGAGTGCCGCGCTCCTCCAACGTCCACCAGACTGCTCGCTCTTCTGCGAATGCTTTTTCCAATTCCATCTGTTGTTATATTTTAAAAAGCTTAAGTTACTCTTCATAATATACAACTATAATACTTACAAACATTATTTATTTTACACACCATTTATTCACGTAAGTTAGAAGGAATAGTAGTATATAAGGTCAAATAAATCTTTAGATGGTTTATAAAATTTGATTTGGGATGTTTTGTAATAAAATGAGATTAGATCGCATCGTATCTTCAACTAGGTATGTATTTTAAGTGACCAGTCGTTGTTGACTTTCGGACTCTGTTAGCTGTTAAAATTTGCCCTACTTTTATGCGGAAACTAATTGATCAGACAGGAGTCTGAAGTGGTAAACAGAAATATGAAATTTGTTTTTGCTCCCGACATTTACCGTGCACTCTCCAATGAGCACCGGATCGATTCCTGGACAGGCGTCCCACAAAGTAAGCTCTAAAGCACGACCGGCTAATAAGTCAGCAGTCAGGCCACCGAAGCCGAGAGTGGCATTCCAGACAGGGCTGCACGATGCTGACGCTGGATCCGTCTCCACTGGCGGACAGCTCTCGCTGTTATAAAAGGATTTATACTTAATAAAATCGGGAGTTAAATTGCATAAGTGTGTTCAAATAATGAGTAGCTTGGTGGCGTACTGGATAAGCGCCGCGGCCCGCGATCGTAGTCGTTAAGCAACTTTCGCAAGGGTAGGTCACGGGATAGGTGACAAAAAAAATGATTATCTCGAGCTACTCCGTGCTTCGGTAGGCACGTTAAGCCGTTGGTCCCGGTTGCATTTGCAGTCGTTAATACCCTCCAATACGCATTGGGCCAGCGTGGAGGGTCATGGCACATCCTCCTTAACCATCCATAAGGAAGGCCTGAGCCCCTGCAGTGGGGACGTAAAAGGGCTGGTGATGATGATGATGATGTTGATGATGACTATATAAAATATTTTTGTATAAAATGAGTTAAGTACAGTGATGGTAATAGGCGTATTCTGGCAAAAGCTTCAGGTTCATCTCCGTATCCGAGCGTGTGGTCCCGTGGAGGGAGATCATCGGCAGCGATCAGCACCACCACCAGTTTGCGGAGTTCGCTCTCGAACCAGACCTGCAGCTGAGCGCGTGCCGGCGGCCTCTCTCGTGCACGTTCCGCTCTTTCTTGCTCCTATACATACATATTTGTATGAACATCGCTCCCATTAAACATGTCCAATTGACTATTAACTCTTAAAGCAGTGTCACTAGCTTATTATTTTAACATTTGTCGTATCTTGCAACCAGTAACACTGCGAACTACAAACCACACATTTCTACCATACAGTAAGAGAACAAGGAGTGTGAATTTTACGGCAAAACTCAAAATAAATAAAATTAACAGTTATAGTAATGTAAACCGAGACCTGAAATGCATATCTAAGTCAGTCTTAACGTCGGGGAATGCTCATTAATTTATATATGTTTACATGCAGCATCAGCTATTTATATTTGGTCATCGATCGTGTAACGTAACTCTCAAATTCAAATTCATTCGGTGCGTTTAACATCCACGCAATCATATCGCTATCGATTATATTAATATCGAGTATCTTTATTCATATCACTTACAAAATATTTTATGAAATAAACATGCTTCGGGCTGAGGCATTTCTATTAAAACACAAATTAATAATGAAAAATCGGACGATGTCATCCGCCATGCAGTAAGCGGTATCATGCTGATACTGGTTGACAAGCTGCATGTACCAGAGACTAGGACTGTTACATAACAAAAGATTTATCAAAATATCTTCTAGAGAATTGAATGGAGTAGTTCATTTGATTTCAATTCAGGGTTTTAACTATACATACATTTTTACAGGGTAATATAGAATAGTTGTCTACGTTGAGAAGGGAGCTTCGGAATAAATCATAAAGATAAGAGCTAATAAGTAGCTTGTTTCTATAGTATAATTTTGAATAGCGTCTGATAGATAGTTAATTTATAAATATGTATACCTCACTAATAAAGCTTCTCATTTTGCCAATCTCATAAAAAACGACTTACTTGAGGAGGTTTGCCTATATAAAATTTTGAAAATTAAAATTTGTAGAGTGTACCTACTGCAGCGCATGACATGACAATGTTTAGCATTCGGTCAAAACAGTAGTACAATATTTTTAAAAACCAATTATAAAGTTGAAAGCGAAACGCATATAATGTAAGTCCATCATAAACAATACCGAAACATACAAAATCCTATAAACATTTGATTAATAAAACACACACTGTATATTAAAACTCGTGTCACAGTAAAAGGCTTCACGTCCTAAACGGTGCTTTGTACTAGATCAATGCACATATCCACATTGTGCGGCTTCATGCATCTCTCAACGGTTTGGACAATCAACTACTTGAACAAGAGCGGAGCAGTATGTACATCGTGTCGTGGGATTGTCGCATCACGTGACGGAAGCGTCGGTGCACGCCTGTTGCTCAAGGTGTTCCGGCGGATGCGGAGAGCCGTGCTGCCACCACTCGAAGCCCTACGCGACTAGTCACTGCGAGTACTGCGAGCCCTCGATGCAAGTGCGGCATCACACTACACTAAGTCAACAGCAAGATCGGTAACAGACACTCGATGCGCAAGACACGAGACGGTACAAACGGCGTTCTTGGCACCCTCACCTCGCGCAATGCTGTCTGCACCTGCCTTCGCCGTGCTTCACCTCATCAAGTCGCGTTCTCTCATAGCCGTAACTTACAGTGTGTCTCTTCTAGTGTATGAAGTGGGTCGACTAAACCGTTATCACTAGTGTATTTTTATTAAATGTCAGTATTGGCTTGTTGCTTTTAGCTAAGCTGTAAGCAGCGGCGGATCTAGTTTCACTACGTAAATTTGTGTCGTATTTCAATATTTAAAACACTAAATTCACGGAATCCTATAGGCGAAACATTAATTGTAACCGGGACTCTTTCCCCTAATCTACCATCGAATACTAAAACTTTGATGAGTCTCTCTCTACACTTACTTATTACAAATTGATTCGTGTTTATTTGTCATTTTGCCGATCGGTCCCTACTATTGAACTCCGCCCGGCGCCGTTGGCAACATTATGAAATTGGTCGGGTGATAGAAAAAATAAAAATCTGAAAATAAGTAGGTAGCATTTTTTCACACACTTCACTTAGGATATCATTATATATAAACGTTAACGTGTATAACAAATGAAGTTAAAAATATACATAGGTATAAATATAATGAGTATAAACAAACAGAGTATCCCTTTCTTTGATTAGTAAAGGTTAACAAAGTTAAAGTACATTTTACAGTCGTCAATAGAAACACTAATAATTCTTACAACTATACTAACGTGGAAGAAGTTCGACTGATTTAGTGCAACAGTATCACAGCAGTTCGTCGGAGACCAGCCTCTGCACTCCAATTTCTTATCCAACCCAATCGCAACAATATTGTACATGTAGGCAGTACACAGATGAGGATTTTGATGATACTTTGTTAAGATACGGGGACAAAATTCAGTGCTAATTGTGAGACCAATACAAATAGGTATAGACACATTTTGGTTGACGGATAAAATAAGTTATCCATATGAATATTATCTGAACAAAGTTTCATAGCGTAACAGTCGTGCACAAAAAGTTAAGACAGATCCGCGTATTTCTTTTTCTTGGTACGATCGTTTAGTTGGGTTAGGTTAAGATTTTGACCGGTATCAGAGCTGCAGTGATCACGTTATTTTTCGTGGTCTCAGTAATTATAGCATGAGTTGTAAAATATAGTACACCAATACATAAACACCAAATTTCAACAAAACATATAAAGATATACCAGCACATCTATCTATTCATTTTATTTTAATTATCACAATTGGCTAATTCGTCTTATTGGCTATGTCAATAATTTTAAATCCCTTCATTCCATTATCAAAGGCTTGCTGATTTATCTTTAACTGTTTCCACACAATACTGATATCTATCAAATAATTTAATTGTCGATATTAGTTATTGGATCAAACGTAATCAATAATAGTGCTCAATATAAGGATTTTTAACTAAACGGCTATGTAATAAAAAAGCAGTCCTCATAACACATAAAGGATATAATATACTATGTAGACGTAATTAGATAGCGTAAAATGGGATTAATAAAGTTTTACAAGTTAATTGGAGGACTACGTGAAGTTTAAATACTTACACGGCATTCTGGATAAATTATTAACTTCGGAATATTCTACAGAAGAGGACTTTTCTCGTGAATGTACGAAGATTCGAGTTTAATTTTTTACTGTTGAAATTAAACCGACACTGTAATGTCATTTCTTTTTGCATTAGAGATTTTTGTTAAATTTATTTTGTACAAAAAGTTTTATAGGCATTGTCTTGTTTACGATGATCCATTAACTAGTAGAATACAAAGAGGTATTTTGCTCAACCACAGTAATATGGATGAGTGAACCGAGAAGCGCAGAGGAATAGGCACCGAGTGAGTTTCTACTAGAGTTTATGAAGGGGCGAGCGGTGAGCTCAATGTCTCATGGGTTCACAACACACATCGTTACAATTAAAGCCTAGTATGGATATTATACCGGGGTTTTCGGCAATTTCCGTCGAGTCGGCGATGATGGTGATTTGTCGGTATCCGGTTCTGCGAACCAAAACAATGTGCATTACACTACTAAGAATCCTGAACGTGGCGTTCCAGGAATCGGAATAGAATTATTATAAAATTTCAGTTAAAATTATAAACTGAAGGAAAGTTGTAAAAGTGCGATAGTGAAAAGTAAAGTGACAGATTCACTGTGCAAAAGAGAAAACAATAATTATGATTAATTAGAAAATAGAGAAAGATAGTAAAGAAAAAGTGGAAAAGAGAAGAGAGATAGTTACAAAGTAACTATAACAAGTACAAGTCAAGAGTGAAAAATTAATTAAAAAGAGAAAAAGACAGAAAGGTAAAGATATTAACTGACTGCTTTTTGGGAAACAATAATTTCATCTACATTATTGATCAAATTCGATAAAGCTCAAAATGAAAGTTAATAATTGAATAAACAAACTATATTGGGTCGTCATTCAAATGGAGTATGTATAATAATAATTTATATATCGATATAGAATTGCAAATTTCGGTTGTAATTCAATATTGCTGAATTATAACAATAAATATATTTAACAAGATTACAAGATTAAATTCACATTCTGGTATGACAAGCTCATTATTGACAGCTGTACCGTATAGTGAATGGTGGTGGTGCGATTGCGGAGCTTGTGGTGTATCTTCGTGGTGGGGGGCCGGCTCCACGAGTAGTTCCACGCTGTCACCACCACGATCCAATACTGCGCAGACCTCTTCGAAACTGCGTTCTGTGAGAGGTACTCCACCCCATTCTAATACCTGTAGGTATTTATTCATTCACAATTTATTTATTTGTAGTTATTAGAGTTATAACGAAGGTAGACTACAATGTTTGTAAAAAAAGTGATAGCTCGAAGCGAATACTAGTGTTATTGTTTTACGAAGAAGATGATACCGATTTCTTTTTGTGCTTTCGATGAATTAAGAGTGAAGATGGTACTCCCAATATTCTTTGTTAGTCTATTCTACTATGATCTAGTTATTCGTGTTTGATTATATTAAACTAGCTTTGGTCCGCGACTTCGTCCACGTGGTATAATCACTTTAACAGGCATATATTTTACAAAAACGCTATTGTTTTTCGAGCTGATGATAAAATTACCTTGATGTTAAAGTTGGAAGATACTACAGCAAAATAATAATAATTACATATATACAATATGTTTTACCACTTTATCCGTTTTAACTCTTTTCAAGATGGAATTTCCAAAAAATGCAGTTAGACGCACTCAGATGAATGTACGCAATCAGACCTACGCAACCAGTTGAATGTACTCTCCAAATTTCAAATCTCTTTGACTAGTGTTTTAGGCTGTGTGTTGTCTATCAGTAAATTAGGATATCTCTTCTTTTATTTTAGATATATGGTGGCGATATGAACTTTAACGGATAGGAATCTTTTCATAATACTTCTTTATAGACTATATATTTATCGACACTACGCTGCGCTTTGGGGTTGTATTTTTCTAATCTATCACGTGACCTAAGGTAGTGAATCATATAGGAACTTATGTTCAGTTCATATTTGAGATCCTCCAATATATTTTAATCATCCTCTGGAGTTAGGTCAAAATCCTGTCTTTCTCATAACCTGTGACATATCCATAAAACTATACAAATAGCCTTTGCTGCTGCACTTTCGCACTGACTCCTACATTTATTTCACTAAACTTAATCAAATAAATGTTTTTCGTTGCTTAGTCACCTTACTTTCTTTAATTTGTTGTATAAACTTAAAAATAAAATAAATAATGTGTCCCAAAGGCAATGCGCTGTATGCTATGTAGCTCCTCTTACTGAGACTTATGTAACTATTTTATGATATGATCACTTACTCTTGGCCACATCATGAAGAAGTCGTACATACTATCAGCCGCCCATATCGTTAAACGCAAATTATTAATTGCTCTCGCTAGGTCACATCATGATGTGGGCATCAAGAATTTTCTACTTTATGATATACAAATATTTAATGAAATGGCTGGCTGCATCATGAATTGGTCAATTCTAAGGTGCTTACATAATATGAATGAACAAATGTAATAAAATAGGATATGTGAAAATTATTAACTTGAAAATCTTAGGTTAAGCCCTAGCAATACTTATCCTTAATAAGTTAATGACTGATGAAACGAAACACAAATAAGTGCAATTTCTTTAATCTGAGCTTGGAGCAACATTTTAATTGTTTTTGATTTAAAGCCTGCGCAAAATTCTTTGATCAAGATAATAGCGGTTTAGAATTCATTTATCGCCATCTAGTGTAGTTCATATATATAATATAAAAATATTTTTTCTTTCATAAACAAAATTACTTGAATTTGAACATTTTTTACTAATAAAATTTAAAAAATGTTACATATTCAATCAAATACTTCAAATACCAATTGTTATCGCTAAACAATAAAACATTTTGTAAAAAAATATTAGATTGATTTATTAAAATGACAAATCAGATTGTAAACAATAGTTGCTATGGCAACATTTTGATTCCTCATAAAATCTTTCACTCTCATTTTTATCCCTTTAAGTGCTAGTTTTTGGGCTTAAATATAACCTATTTCTATCTACCTTCCTAGGGTCATAAACTACCCAAATACCAATTTTTATCGACTAAGGTCCATAAACAAAAGTTTTATACAAACTTTTTCACCCTTTTTGACCCTCTTCGGGATGGAATTTTCAAAAATCCGTTCTAAGTACACCTCTATGTATTAAGGGGAATGTTCCCTCCAAATATCAAAGTTTCTACGCCAGCGATTTAGGCTGTGCGTTGTCTGTCAGTCAGTAAGTCAGGACATCTCCTTTTATATATGTATAGATAATAAGATATTGTACAAAGTTAGCTGGCGCCTAGATATTAGAAAAATAAAACATTTTTTGAGTTGTGAAAAAAATTAAGGTACACAATCAGTATTACTTTAGCGTTTGAAAAAATGTTTCATCAATATACAAGCTTGCGTGAATGCTTTGATAGGTCACTTTTTATAAGCCGATGCTATCTTCATTTGTCGCGCCGTTGAAGGACATCTGCACGCAAATTAGTGACATTGTTATGTTCACGCTGAAACTCATAAACTAGTTGTAAACAGTAACACGGAATGGGGTTTCATCATGAAATGTCTATGGGTGTCTATAATATTCGTATATAACAAAGAGAAATTAACTTGAAAATTTAGCACATAACTTTGTTGTTTAAATTTATTTACCATGGAGTTTTAAATTATTGATAAAAATATATGCTTGAGTTATACTTCAGCGAATTGAGTTATAAAAACTGGTGTCCCCGATTTGTATTTAATAGTTGGATTTTGATTAAAATTTTTAACATGTTTAGCTTTGGTATGTCTATTGATTTTATTTTGGAAGTAGATATTCTATTGTTTTTATTTATTTTTCAAAGTTAATCGACATTTTATTAATTCTCATTGCAGATAAAAGTTGTCGGAGATCATTTTCAATATACCTCAATTCGAAGGTAATATGTCACCAGGACCTCTAACGTTTTATTCTTTCATAAGTAAAATTTTGTTATTAGAAATTACCTTATCCCCTTGTTGTAGGCCAGCCAAATCAGCTGGACCTCCGGGTACAGTCCAAACTATAACTGCTTCACGACGCCCACTAACATCAGGTTTACCACCGACAACACGCATACCGAAACCTCGTGCTGGATAATCAGAAAAATATTACAGTAAAAAAACATCAAACTCTGGAATTTGTAAATTCAATATTCATACTTACACCTATGTCCTTTGTCGTTGGGGTCACGGCGTAATGAGACGCGGCGCGGTGTGCGGTCGTCAACATCGTGTATTACAATTTTGATTGCTTCCGCATCGACGGACATTTGTCGTGCAGCGGCGGCTGCTGCGGCGGCGGCAGCAGTTGCTGACGCTGATGGTTCAGCTGCAGCGTCAGATCCCCGAGAAGCTAGTGCTGCCATAGCACTTAATGCACCGGTACGTTGTTGTAGTGCTGCTATATCTGGCCTGTCAAATTCATTGGCAAAAATATTGTGGTATATCAGTATTACTATGATTCACTAAGAAGTTGACTACGATGATGATTCCTGGGAAAAGTTTAAATGGCGTAAGATCCGTGGCGTTTTTCTGGATACAAGTAAAATATTAAATAAAGTTTCTACTTAACTAAAGTAAGAGCGAATAGTTTATGAACGTTGCGTTAGATAACGTTCTTTAGATAGATCGAACCTTACTTAGATCCGATGTTACAAGTAGCTAAATATTTATGTTCAGTATATCCGACATAACAAAAGTACGACAACCGACGGGAAATAAAACAGAAAAGATCTTTTTTTATTTTGTTTTACGGGCCCGAGATCTAAACCTGACAAACGGTGATGACACGTAGCGTGTTCCTCATTAGGTCACAAAGGTCGTCAAGATGTATAAAAACTGACCAAAATATTTTATGATAATGAGTGCTTACAACTGGCTTCCACGTCGTCTGATAGGCCGATCCTCGTCTACGCTGAGGCCTGTGATTTGCGGTGTTGTCTCCGAGTCATCAGCTCGATATGAGCCACGTCGGGACTGACTTCCTGCTACCACGTCTACTGCTGAAGCTCTAAAGGAGATACATTTGAATAAAGTGAATCAATATTTTGAATAACGTTTCCCCTAAATTTTTACAATTAATAATTTACTAAAATATGTAAGAAAAATTACATCAAATATTCATATAATGGCTGCAATACATGTAACGATAATACTCATACAACAACTATCGTCAAAGCGGGTCATCTATTAATACACTTTGTATGCTCTGATTACTTTCATAGAAGTGATACGTACTAGAGCTTTCTATTGTTACTCCTCGAATAACGTTTACTTGTGCAAGCCTAAAGTTGCACAGGTACATCGTTACGCGTACACATATACTATTTAAATTATGCGCTTCGGCTATATTCGCCAAGCTTCGGCAATCCTAATGTATTTTAAAGATATCTATATAGAGTTGTTATTACATCATTAATCATTTCGCTTAAACTTAGATTAGGTTAGCCAATTTAAAAATAAAAGTATACTGTGTTTCTTGTCATCAGCTGATACCAAAATGAAAACCCCAGATTAAAGAAAATCGAATTAAGATAAATCGGTTGTACTAACTAAATAAGTTTCTGACACACCAGTAAGTAGAACAGTTTTTTTAATAAAACAAAATTCACCAATTAATATAAATTTATCAATGAATCACAATTTGATATGACTTCTATACCCGACATTTCAGACTCAGATTACTGTCGCTGCTGGAACCAATGTTTAAAATAAATCTATCCGAATGGTTATCAAACACAGGCTCAAATTTCCGGTACTCATCCTCGCACTTGATAGCATGAACTTTTTCTAATATAAGTTCTTCATGAGACCGAGGTCACATTCATGGCAACATTTTTTTTCGCTACGTGCCTCTTTATTTGGGATCAAATATTGTCGATGGGGTTAAAATCAGGATGATATGGATGTAATCGTAAAACTGAATATCCATGGTCTTGTAAAATTTTGTCAATGGTAAATACAGCCAAACTTTCTTTATGAGTCAATATAATTTTATATAACTCAGGCTTTGTTTATGTAGGGTCAAAAGGAATATGGTTCCGCTCCAACCAAACTATCATATGAGGTCGCCGTGTATTAGAATTAAACGACTTAACCAATAACTGGTTATGGTTTGGTACATTGTTGATTATTAGCACACTGTTTTGAAGTAAATTGGGAATCAGTTGATTGCGGAGCCAAGTTTGATATGTCTGCGTTTATTGCTTGATGATAATATCCATCAGAATCCAAAAAAATATCTAGTAGTAATGCACCAGGTACAAAACCTTTCTCATTACCTCCATGTATGATAATAATACGTTCACCTTTGGAAATCGGTTGTTTAACCCCTTTTTTATTTTTATCAAGCCAAGACTTGCCTTTTGTGTGAGAAGTATGAACATATGATTCATCCATGTATACAATATTTATTTCCGGCAGCTCATAAAGCCTGTATTTTCTTAATATATTTAATTCTTTTTAGGCGTACAGCAGATTTTTCTGCAAGGAGATTTCTGTTATTTTCTGTCTTCATAAATCTAAATCCCACATTTTTAAGAATTTTTCTTAATGTATCTGCACATCCTTGGAAACCAATAACGTTCATTAGTTTAATTTCTAAAGACTCTACAGTAGGAACTTCCTTAAATCTTAAATGAAAGTCATATACCATGTTTCTAATCACACTGTAATCAAAACTGTCCAGTTTTAACCTGAAATTCTTCTTTGGCCTTCCTTTCTTAGGTGTGTTAAATGCAGACCTACCATTATTTTCTTTGTTCGTAGTTAAATTTTACAGAAATCGTCTGGATATGCCAGTGGCATTGACCACGCTGTCTTGAACTTTACTAAAATATCAATTTTCAGACTTTTTAAAAACATTAGCTTCTGTTAAAAAGTGCAGGTACACGTTGTAAATTATTTCATGGGACTGACCGCTAATAGGTTTTCCTTTTTTTCAAATTGGTATCCATTCCACGATACCTAGAAAATTATGTAGGAATAAATTAAGTACCTATATTCAAATAAGGTAATTTAGCGTATTACAGCTCTATACAATTCTTAATACTGAAATATTGCGTGCTGTCACTTCCATCACAGTCGAGGTACTGACGAGTTTTGGCGGCTAAAACGACGATCACACATTGGTTTCTTGATCGGTTAAATACGTAAACACGAAATATACCAAGGCGCATAACTTAAATAGTATATGGAGGGGTTTGCGGTAGCATAAAGGTTCTCCTAAAATAAATTTTCCAAAAAGCACTTCTACCTACGCCCTCTTATAACATATATACTTTATATAGAAATATACTTTACATAGCTCTGTATTCTTAAAATAATCATTACGAAATATAGTAAACTATTTCGCCGTCTACCTTGCTTCTTATTTAATGCCTTAGATTCAAAACATGAAGTTCACGATATATTTTACCTTCTTGAAATGGGAGGTGGCGCTGCCAGTGCTGGTTGACCAGGAGCCGGTTGGTCCTCATCACAGGAACGTTGCCGTGGAGCGCGCACAGACCTCCGTCGCGCAGGCGACACCGTGCTTGGCCGACGTGACGTCACGTCCGGCGTGGAACTGCCGCCAACGCCCTTTAGCTGCCGCGGCGGGCAGCGTGGTTATAAACACATTCATTTTAAAGCCACACAGCAACATGATTAAAGCTACATGCACTTTTGAGTCACGTGCATTCACAGTGAAGTTGATGACGAGCAGTTTTAGGCAGGAAGAGAAGAACATTCAGGTGAAGTGGTAGGTATATTTGATTCACTAAAGCTGGTTTGTGATTTTTGTTCTTACATTTAACGTACACATAGGTGGCAGGCACATCAGATCCACATCAATTTGTTACAAAGGGATAACGGAAAAAGGTGCTATTTACATTTTTATACTACATGTACATGGATATGCTCACAACAAAATGATGTGGAGGCGGTTGCGTTGATGTATCATCATTCTCATGAAGACAGACGGCGAACATAAGCTTTTGTGACGAATATGTGTCCATTTCAATAGCTGTGCTTTAATACAGTTTTTTCTACTTTATCTTCAAGCTTCAATTAACTAACACTCTTCTTGTGACATATGACGGCCGCATAGCTATACGAGTAACTCAGTGAACATTACCTTTTCTAGTTCTTTTAATGAGGCCGGTGAAACGTCAGAGTGTCGACGTAATTCTGGTGATCTTGGTGGGGCGAGTGCGGTGCTGCTGCCACCGCTGCCTAGTCTAGCTTCTGAGTGACGCCGCTGTAAGGCCTCTAGTACCGGCACTTCAAGTAACGAGTCTGTACTGTCTTGCGCGGCGGGTGGTAGACGAGGAGCAGCCTTCCGGCGGCATACGGAACATCGCCATGAATTCTGCCCAAGTAACACGACTTTCATACTTTAGATGTTAGAAGCTACAATCACAGTATGTTATCAATCTAGAATGAAATTTACTAATGTGTAAATGTTGCTCATATTTGATAATATAAATATATTTTTCGGAATTTTAACATTACAAATGTTTATTTTCAGTCAGCTTTCTGTAATCTGTCCTTTTTCTAAACGTATCTGATGCAGCATAAAATGCACTTTTTAAATTTCAAACTAAAATTAAAATATTTTTTAAATTTGAAATCTATTAAATATGTTCCTGATTTAAAATATTTGTGTAATTTGAATTTTACTCATTCATAAAATTACTGTAAGCGTTGAACGCAAACACAGACGTAATAACTGGTAAGCTCAAAATCTCTGTACATTGTCGTATATAACTGTGTTATAATCGTTCAATAAGCCCAAAAAAATCTATAAACTCTTTTATCTATACGTTGTATTTCTTTATGTTCTTCTAAACTAAATGATTTTAGGTTTACTGAAGCTCTTTATTTGGCTGTATCTTTTAAATACTGCCAGTTATAAACCAAATAAAAGAAGATTTATATCAATTAAGCAGCTCACCGGGGTGCGAACCTATTTATCATGTTAGTCATATTGCCTTGAAAATTATCGTTGTCGTGAGCGGCGGCGCATAAATTTAATATCAGGACCTGTGTAAACTTCTACCAACGAAATCATCACTCAAATGATTACATACTATTTAACACTCTTATTCGTATAGAGGCTCATTTAGTTGGGTGACTGTATCTATAAATAAAAAGCTGCGCGCGACTGTTTAATGTACGGAAACCAACTGTGTGATTATAGATGTTAGTTAAACAGTGTTGCATTTACAATCAGTTGCACTAAAGTCCATTAATGTTTAATGACGCCTTTAAACATTAATGGAATAATTAATGTCAAAAAGCTCTAATGAATGTTAAAATTGTATGGGGTAATGTCACTTTAAACTAACGAACTAGCTGACGTTTGTGCAACTAGCAGATAGTTCTACAAACGTCCATTAAAATTATCATTAGTTTAAAGCAACATTACCGAGACTAATTTTCAAATTTAGAATATTTATTACAACCTAATCTTGCTATTACATCACAACGGACTTCATGCAACTGGGAGTCTTTCATATTTATGATAAATGCGTTCAAGTTGTCCGTAGTTCTAAAACAGGATCTAAAATGCGTTCATGTGAAATCTAACAGAGTGGTAGATAGTAAAAAAGACGTAGCATTCTACTGACTTATCAGATACTGTATTGTTTAAAGTAAAGCGTTAAAATACTGTGTTATTAAAATACTATATTATTTTTATTTTACTTCAGATCATCACGGAAGGCATTTTGTTTTCATTGTTAACTTAATTATATAAACTTTTAAACTTTTGCGTTGCATTATATTAGATTGTATAAATTAAATTTCATCGCGTTAATACCCGTCTTATACAATCTAATATAACTTAATTATGACTAGAAGAATGTATAAAAAAATATTTCCTCTTCGTTCAGCTTATATTTGAAAAATTATACCGGACTTACAAGAAACTGGAGTTTTATTATATTTGGAAAAGACGAAGTTTTATTACTTTTCTCTACCAATTTAAAAATTGAAAGGCGCTCGCTACACCACTAACGAAGGCAAAGAAAATTGTGGAAACCAGGAAATCTCTACAATTGAGTCTGCTGGGTGTGTTTAAACTTGACTGCATAAATTTCAAAAAGTCTGTAATTAATTACGACTGCTAAGCGGACCAGCGGGGAGATTTACGTTTAGTTACATTCGTATTTGTGTGGAACGTTTACTACGAGTGGCAGGCTTATCTTAAATTCTCTTTGAAACAGGTCGGCACTTTAAGGATTTCTAGTACTTAAATAAAAGGTTTTGTACATCGAATCCACAGATTGCAGAGTTACTATCGGAACTAAAAACTGGAAGTCAATATATTTTGTGGCTAATCGTCTTGTCAACTTGAAACGCGAAATTAAAAATGCTTGGCTATGTTTTTCACTGTATTTAATAGCAAACATAATCGAAATTCATATAGAAAACACATATTTTAAACTATTTATATTGCTCAAAGCAATTGTTTTGTAATTTGTTGTTACAGGTCGGTCAATCTGCACTGTATAGCACTTGAAGCATAACCAAAGTCAAAATGTGAGAATTCGTTTGAAATTTGTAAAATACCCCTTGTTCCATCGACCTGCATTTATTTTAGCACATGTATTTTGAAATGTCGGGTCAGTAGGACAGTTAAAATGATGAAAGCAGCTGAATCAAAGCATCACAGAAGACTTAAAAGACTTGTTTTTAATATCATTTGCCGTGGAAATAGATACGATTTGCTTTTCCGTGAACGTTGTTTTGTTTGAAAAGGAGCACTTTGAGGATTTAGTATTCCATGAGGCGGTTCTACTACAAAAGTGAAGTATAACAGTTTAATTTTAGCAAAATAGTACAAATATGTATACTACATTTCGCATCTTTTAGCATCACAAAGAAGGTTATTGTTGATATATATTACGACCAATATGAAATACTTGGAATATATGGAAGCTAAAAAATAATTGCAATGCAAATCTCTGTCTTTTCCTACGCAACCAATAAACGATGTTAATAATAATAATAATATTAAACGCTTTATTTCACACATAATAATACTGTTTACAGTAGAATTATCTGTATACAAAATGACATCAAAATGCTTTTAGTAGTTTTTGCGTGAAAGAGTAACAAATGAAGTACTCAGCAACTCGCATTTATAGTCGTAGGATTAATGTTTATTCATTTTTAAATATTTATCATGATTAAATATTTCAGTTTACTATACAGTTTTTCCAACGGGGCAGAAATTTAATATTGCCCCCTTTCACCCCTCCCCCGGCGTATATATTTTCATTTTTTTTTAAATTCTCTTATATTATTATGATTTTGGCGCCCGGGGCAAGTGCTTACACTTACCTCTCTAGAACCGGTCATGAGAATATATAATTTCTGTGCTACATACCGCTTCTTCATCGCTGGCTGGTTTCGAGTACGAAGAACAATCTTCGCAAACGCGATGCTGACAGCCATTACATGTATGGAACACCTCTCCTGGTTTAAGTGCTTTTAGGCACACACGACAGGCACCCGCCCGTGATGGTGCCTTACCTGCTTCCCTGGATACAAAAATATTTTTAATAAATACAGAATCTATCTATCTATAATCATGATCAGTGAAATATTCTATTATCAGAAGAATATTTCACTGATCATGCTACTACTCTCTGGAACTCTCTACCTATTTTTTTGTTCAAAAAAGAATGAAGGATCATTACATTTCCGCTTGTTGATATTAGACAGTGTAGGTAATAATAAATTTGAGATATTGTTATTTTTTTCTTTTTATTTGTATTTGTTTATATATTCCAAATTAATTTTATTTAAGAGGTACACACTGACTTCCTTATTGTACGAGTATTTTACTATTATAGACTTACTGCTGAAAATTTTAATTTGAAATAAGCAGTGCTCTTGTAATATTTATAATGTCTGTTATATTTTTAACTTCGAGACACTCGGGGTTAAAAATATAACAGACATTATAATAAACAATAGTGTTTATGTCAAATTAAATAAATATGACACATAGATATCTATGAATAACTTTGTGTCGAAAATTACGGATGTATTCTTCTTACTAATAAAGGTGAACAACAAGGCTACGTAAGGTTAATAATTAATGATTTTATCGTATATTGGATACTCGCCGTTCTCCCACGATTGCGTCTGTGTAAAATATAGTCTTTATCACAAAAGAAAGAATTTTGATTATTGGATTAGTATTTCCGAACATTGCCCCTACAAACAACGTTAGAAATTTTACCCTCTTCATATTATTAGTATAGGTTCTGCGAAATATAGAGTTAAAACTATATAAATATAGAGTAACTACTTACTAAGAATAAAAATATATTTGAATTTAAAATGTAACCTTGTATGTTTTGGCTAGAGTTCTATACACAAATAAATACAATGTACAATACGTATCGGTCCAATTCGTAAATAGATAGTTATAAGATGTCTACCTCATTCTTAATAATTATAGTTTATTAGGACTTTGTTTCTGTTGTTCACAAACAAATTGCTATTAGCGATTTGGTTTCTGCGCCCTTTTAATGGATTAATTTTGCGGCGCGGCCTAATTACTGATGTCAATGAACTTTATTGATCAGTGTTACGAAAATTTACATTGGCCTCCCTAATTGTCTTTACTGGGATTGTATATTAAATATCTTCAATTAATGTTCTATAGAAATTGGCATAAACTAATTAATATTTTGATTATTTATTATATAACTTCAGAGATATATCGAATGAAAATAAATAAAAATATTAAGTTAATTTCAAAAAAGTACATTTTTAACATTGTAGTAAAAATAACTATATTCCAATTTAGATTTAGAAGTTACTTTCTTACTTTGTCTGTTATTATACTGATTATATAGATTTTTTAATAAACTTTTTCATTCACATAAAATAACAAAAGGTTCTTCAGACTACTTAATTACACACGTGTTACATATTTATCACTGTGTTTTTGTGGTGTCCTCATGTGGCGTGGAAGAGAAAAAGTAATAGAGGACAGCAAGGAAGGAAGTATAAATCATAAAAAAGGATGAAGAGATAGGGAAGAAGTAGGTTCAGGGGATGTCGTCAAGCAGGCGCGCGCAGTTATGTAGATTAGTTATTTGGAGTAATTGCAGTTTTAATTATTGATTCTTTTGGTTCTATTCAAAAGGTTTTATTCACATACTCGTAATATTAGTAATCCGAAGTGACATTATTAGCTTATTATATATGCTGAGTATATAATATAAAATAGATAATTGTTACTAAATTAATATTATAAAGCTTCTCCATTTAAACGTAGTTGACAACTGAAAATGTTACCTTTCAGTCTTAGTTGTTTGTGTGGTGGGCGGAGGTTGCGCGGGAGGCGGCGCCGGAGCAGGTTCCGCGGCC